TTTTTTTTGGTGTTACTACAAATTATTTATTACATCTTTAGTCTTGAAAGATGAAAGAAAGAATGCAATATCTTTAAATTATTCTCAGTGGTACAAGATTTTTGTCCACCAAAAATCAAAATTACTCAATGTCCTGGTGGATTCCGTCTTAATTTTTTTGTCTGCCAGTTTTGTCACATTCATGGGACCTGAGTCCCACAAGAAGGGACATAGAACTCTTTCCACACGCCTGACAACGTGTACTCTCATAACTAGCTCGAATACTCATGGGATGGCGTCTGCGTGTTGGTTGAATTCATGTTGTTTTTTCTTTCTTATTTAAATTGGTTAATTCCACTGGTTAAAAAAACAATATCCCAAATTTGCACAAGAAAATAACGTATTGAAGGATTTTGGTAATTGTGGTAAAAAGGCGCATCGTTCAATTAGTGGGCAAAACACTTTAATTTGCACATGATTCGCACTTTTCTTTTTCTTTCCTTTTCCTTTTTTTTTTATTGTACGACCAGGGGCACCCAATGGTTGTGTTCCTCAAAATATTTGTTCTTCAAGCACATTTTTGCCGACTGGGAGATTCGGAAAAAAAACAATATGTCCTTGGAAGGAAAGTGTTGCTAGGAAATAGACAGGTGTCCCTTATACCAGACCCAATTGCCCACTGAAGGACTAAATAATAATAACCTCTATTTTAAGCGGGTGACACCAATTACTATGAATTATTCTCCCTAGTGGCCCTCTAAAAACAAAATTGATAATAATAAATTACAACAATCATGATAAAAAGCCTATTTACAAATAGTAATTATAATAAAAGATCTTAAGAATTCCAGTATTCTCCCTCCCTGGTGGCCCTCTAAAAACAAAATTGATAAGCAAATAACATCATTACATTAATCATGATAAAAAGCCTATTTACAAATAGTGATTATAATAAAAGGTTTTTAAAAATTCTAAAGATTTAAAAAATTGAGAGATGTTAAAAACGGAAGTGAATTCATTGGTAAAAAAGGGAATCCAGTCTACAATGATATTTAAAAAAAGCACGGATTTATAAAAATCAGAATAACTTTTTAACTTTAAAATTGTCCACCGTATAGTTTGAGGCGACGTTATTAGTCAGCGTTGTCTTCATTAAGCTAAAGGAGGTGGTTGGTTCTAAGTTAAGAGCATTTAGTTCGTTAATAGTGGAATAAAAGAATGTTCCCGTCATTGCTTCAGTTCTGGGTTTCGGTAAGCGGTATAACGTTTTTGTTCTGGTCGAGTACTTGTGTTCAAACCGAAGTGAGTCCAAGGTTGTAATTAAGTATTCCGGTGTCCTACCATCAATAACTTTCTTCAAAAGGCCGATTTTATTGAGCTTGAATAGTTGATCAACTGGTAGCCACTTAAGCTTTTGAAAATTATCATACGATCGTGCATCCCGAGGACTATCCAAAATTAATCGAGCGCGGCGTTCTTGAAGTTTAACCAGTTCGTCTAAGTTGGTTTGGCTACAGTTGCTCCAACAGTACAGCAATAAGTAAAGAGCGGTTTGATACTTGCATTCTAGAGAAGCAATCGATATTTTGCTGGTATATATTTCCGAGCTCTTGCTAAAATTGCAATTCTTCGAAGTAGTTTTCGGCGCAGTGTGTCAATATGATCGTTCCAGGTGGGGTGACTATCAATATATACTCCTAAGACACGTTCTGACTCAACCTTAGTGAGTTGCATGCCGTCAACTGAAAGGTCAAGAGATTGTTTTGCTGAATTTGCAATTTTTTGTCTGGTTGAGATTATACTGTACTTTGTCTTTGCTGGATGCATTTTCATTTTATTTTTTCTTTGCCCACATCGATACTACGTCAATGTCAGGTCTGATTTTCTCCTCAGCTTCAGGTAAGGTAGGTGCAGAGGCATAAAGGGTCGAGTCATCGGCGTAAATGCCAATATTATTCTTCAGTACTAGAGGCAGATCATTTATGAAGAGCAGGAAAAGAGCGGGACCAAGAATACTCCCCTGCGGTACACCCGAGTGGAGTTGTTTTTAGGCTGAATTGTGTGCCCTATGACCACACCCCAACTGGCCAGTATTGTGTGGACATACGTCTGCTGGGAAACCGGCAGTAACTCAGGTTGCAGATTGTAGATGCACGTTGTTGGCTGGAAACTCTTCCATCAGTCTTCCTGGGAGTGACGAACAGAAAAAATCTTCCCAGCAAATCTCCCAAAATGCTTAAAATGGCTTCAGAAAGCTTTATTCATACTTTGTTGTTGTTTTTAGGTCTTTTTCTCAAAATTACCGGTTGGGTGCCCCTGTACGACGTGCCAAGTAATTTTGCCCCTAATGGAGGACTAAAAAAAGAGGCAACAAAATGTTCTTTCTCTGTCTGAATTGGATATTGTCCCTAGGAATTCAACTCTAGGATGGTTCATCTGCATTTGACAAAGTAAGTGGGTAGGGATTATCTCGAGTTAAGAGGCTGAAAGAACTTGTTAAGCGATGTTTTCGCTGCCATCGCGACCTTGTGGGTCCCAATGGAGTTAACCGTCAGCCGTCAAATGGCCTACAATTTAACCGTCAACCATCAAAAGAGGTTATTTCTTACCGTCAACTGTCAAAGATGCGGAGTAATATTAACCTTCAAAACATTTCAAGGAATTTCAAATCTATTAATTTCAGCTGATCTTAACTGGATTAAAACAGGGGCGTGTCCTCAAAAACACTCTCTCTGAACATTGCAACACCTTACAACTTTCTAATATCTTAACTATTTCGAAATTTTATTTGTGAAAGGCAAAGGCAACCTCCAAAACACATATCATACAGAAGTTAACATTTACTTTAACTCTTGGACTAAAATTTTACTAAACAACCGTCAACCGTCAAAATCTCTAAACTTCAGCTGTCAAACGTCAAAATTTGGAAAAAAAATAACCGTAAACCGTCAAAGCTAACACCTCATTGACACCCTCTTGTATCTCAAGGTAATATTACACGGGACGATTTGCAACGACGATTTTTAGCGCAACACAGCGTTAGAACATTGCTACCAATCGTCGTTGCGAATCGTCTCGTCTAACATCACCTTTTAAGTCGCTAGTCGCATAGAAGCGCTAGCGTCCTTAGAAAAGTCCCACAATGCAATTCGACAGAACACCAACCACGGTCTGCCCATAGGACCCAAAAAGCTGCAACCTAGGAACTACTTTTGCACTTTTTATTCGAGCTTTTTGTTTGAGCTCAAACTTTGCAGGATGGTAAAACTTTGTATTCCGATTTTTGGCAAAAGATATGGCAAAACAAACAAATAATTTTAAAAAAGCACGACGTGATAGAATAGAATGTGAAAAAAACTCCATTAGTTAAAGAGTTATTAAGCTTTAATTTTTGAATACAGAGTTCTACCATCCCGCAAAGTTTGAGCTCAAACGAATAAAAAATGTAAAAGTAGTTCCTAGGTTGCAACTTTTTGCGTCCTATGGGCCCAGGGTGAACCCAGATCCTGACCCCAAATGCAGCGAACGTAAACAAGTCTCCTCGCATCATTATACGTTTCTGGGAAACTAACCACCTACCCCTCCCGTGAGCTAACATTTTGCCATAGGTGAGAAGTAAGTGTAATGTGTATAATGATCCGCAGATACTTCGAAGACAAACCTGCGCAGTTGTCAGAGGGAAAATTCTCAAAATTACAAGTAAGCGATTGAAAATGCGAAATTACATGTAAAAAAAACTAACATGATTAAGATCGCTCAGAGCGTTGTTAACTGCTACCAATATATATACGTCACCGTGGAAATTTGAGAAGTAAAGGAAGATGGACAGTATTTCTTCAGTGTATTTTTGGAACCCCTGAGAAATCCTGGCTAATGTAAAAGTGCGCCGTTTGTCGGCTTTCAGCCGGTGGTAAAGTGATGTGTCCACCGCAGGCTGCTCCCTCAGTGGATATATCACATTACCTCTCGCTTCAGGCCGATAGTGTCTGGTCACTAAATTTATATCTGGAGGGAAAAGAAGACGTTTTGACTTAGAAGACACTGGTACCAACCTCTTTTCTTTCAACAAAAAAAAAAAACAATGCAAGTGAATAATGAGGACGCTCACTTGTAAACACAAAATCTGGAGGAAAAATTGGCTATATTTGAGGCCCTATTTAAAACCCTTCCCTGTTTTCAATGTTCTTGAAACTTGCAGGAAATATTTTTTGATGATTGATCTCGGGATTGTCGAATGTATGAAAAAATTTATCGAGCAGTTTTTGGAAAAATGCGAAATTTTCAGGCATGGACCAAATTACGTCCAAAAACTGTATCAAACGCAGCTGAATGCAAGTTAATAAAATTCTTCTTTCTCGCGATCGCCCAGAGCAATTCCCCTCTTTTTTTGTATGCAGTTTTCAATGGAACCAAACCACTATGAGATGAAGCCGCGTTCCCAAAGCTTATCATTTTCTTAAAATATCAGCGAATTGTGTGGCTAGCATGCTATTTCACTGTTTTTATGATTCTTAAAACTGCATTTCAAAATATTTCGAAACCGCTCTTATAGAATTTCTTCAAACTTTGCCATAATGGAGGCATTTATGACAGGTACATACTCCCTTAAGCGATTTCTTCAAAAAACTCCTGGTACAGAGAAACACAAAGATAAATGAAAAACGTAATGGCGTCATTACGTTGCCATGGCGACTCCGATTACAATAAAACCCAGATCATAAGAAATTTTCATCTTTATATAATACATTTATATAATACATTACTCATGCGGACGTAGTTAATGCTCAAACTGGGGAGGTATCAACCCCAAAAAATCCAGTCGAGCCACCTTAATCGCTCGAAACCGCCATAATTGTTCTTTTTATTCCTCTCTGCCAGTCCCCTCGGAAATAAAGATCAACCAAGATATGCCTTGACGTGCGTCAGACGAAATATTCATCTCAGTGACTATTGATGGATCCCCTTGAAGTTGGCATGAACTAAATCTTAGTGCACCATTCTGTTAAACTGGACTGAAGTAAGCACACAATTCACCGTTCCAAGCAAAAATTTATTTACCAAAGATTTTATTTATTAACTTTTTTCAAGCGTATCTAAACCCACAATGATTACTACCAAAAATCCTTGTTTTCAGCTAATAGCTGTAAATTAGTTTGAGATATTGATGAACTAGACCAAACCAGACCAAAACTCAACAAGAAATAATTGCTATCCTTCTCCAAGTCAATGATCGAATGGAAAAAGTATTAAAAGTTACGCCTATTCTATAGATTAATGCTCTAAGTTATCAAGGTACTTATTGCTTACAAAATAGATCATGAAACAAACTATTATTCTTTTACTGTTTACAAATTTGCTGTATGCTTGGATTAAAACATAACGCTCTACACCCATTTGTACAGGGCGCTGTTTAAGTTGTACTTTTGACCGTTTTTATGGTTTGCCACTACCAAGTAAGTATGACCTTCGTACTCAAATGACGTCATATAATGTGCCCCAGTGGTTAGAATCTCTTGGTACTTAACAAAATTAGCTCCAGAGGCCTGGTACACAACTGATTTAGTGACATATCCCTGACTGTCATCTTTGTGGTTAGACAAACCCAGGTACGTGTGAGTACCGATCACAAATGGATACCAGGCGATGGCCCCACGAGTAGGAATGGACTGGAACAGGACGAACTTGTTGCCATTCCACTTGTAAAAGAAGGAGTCGATGTTGTGTTTACTTCCAGAGTAAAAGTTTGCAAAGGCGAGGAACGTGTGTCCGTTGATGTTGAAATACTTGACATCGAACGTTCCAAACGTTTGAAGAGACTGGAATTTGGCAAAGTGTTTTCCTGACCATTTGAACACAGTAGACTGAACAGAATGCTTGTGTCGAGAGTTGTAATAGTTTGCAAAAGAAATGAAAGTGTCGTTGTTTATCACAAACGCCGTGCAACCCATGGCACCTTCAGTTGGTATGTCTTGAAATTTGTTAAACTTGCCGCTACTCCATTTGTAAATTACTGAGTTTGTAGACAAGGCACTTCCGTCATAGTGGTTGGCTACTGCGAGATAATGTTCCTCATGCATCTTGAAGTACGTGAAGTGGGTTGCTCCGTTTGTTGATACTTTTTGAAAGGTATCAAACAGCTTACCATTCCACTGATAGATTGTAGAGTCCAACTGGTGAGTTCCGTCGTAATAATTAGCAAAGGCAAGAAAGTGTTTGTTACCGATTGAAAAGTACTCGAGGTGATATGCCCCTCTAGTTTGTAGGGTCTGGTACAAAGAGAAACTTCCAGTTGACTCGTCTATCTTGTAGATCATGGAGCTTGCCTTTGTTTTCTTAATGTCACCGTTGAAGTTGGCGAAAGCAAGAAACAGACTTCCGTTAATGGTGAAATGTTCCACGGCTACTGCTCCTCGGGTTGGAAGATCTTGAAATTTCTCGAAAAAGTGGAAACCAGTGGAGCAATCTTCGCCAAATTGGAAACACAACAGACAGAATATGTTAAATTTATCAACATTTTAAAGTGAATTATCGAGCTGGAAAGCCTATGTGATTGCAAGGAACAAGTTGACATGAGATCAGGCCCAATTATAAAGGCCTGTGTAATTTCCTACAATGTTCATCATATACAGCCAGTACAACATGTACATAAATTAAACGATATTTCATATCATGAAATTTTCTTACCGGCTGAACAAAAGGCTGATTTAATCGACGATAAGCTCTGGAATTCAGAACAAAAACAAAATATTAAAAAAGAGGAAAGCATGACACAAAGTTTAAGCCGTTGGGGATTTGGTTCAACTTCATCTTCGTGGCTTTTTCCTGAAAAAAGCCCTGGAAACAAGGTTGGGGGTTCCTAACATACGCCACTTGCACATCTCCCCTAATGCCCCCCAAAATTTTGCATGACTTTTGTTTTTCAATTTTCCTGGGTATTACAGCCGTCCAAAGAGAAATTGAAAAAGCAATGCTTATGCAACATTTTGAGGGGCAAATAAGGTGCATTATGGGAGGAGAATGTGCAAGTTGCGTATTCAGCGGCTCAGCCAGGTTTATCCCAGTTCTTTGCAAACGGCAAACAAACGGCATAAGGGAAAGGCACCCAAAATAGGGGAAGTTACAGTTCTTTAATCAATGTGTAAGACGACGATTTCGTTTTTTCTTTCTTTTTTTTTCATAATTTTGATAAGTAATGTCACGAAACGAGGCAAGTTATACTTACACCCACCAAATTACTCTATTGTACTAGTAAGGGTAAACAAAAGATTTTTTTTCTCTCTTCCACATGAGTTTTTCAACTTCTTGGAGACAGGAGTGATAACCTACCATAAATCTAGCGCTAACTGTAGAAAAAACAAAAATTCTAAATTTCAAGTACGGAATATCATATCACGAACATTTAAAGATCGACAAATTTATCAAAAAAATATTTTGGTAAGATATCAAATTATTGCCAAAATAGCGAGAAAAATGGACTTAAAACTTTGAACAGATCTGAAGGAAAGATTAACCAGTGCCAGTTGACTGTACTAACCTTACCTTAGCATCACAAGATCCTGGAATACCTTTTTCTCCTTTTGGCCCTTTGACTCCAGGAGATCCTTTCTCGCCCTGAATCAAAATGGCCAAAATTAGCAATATAACACATTTGGAAAAGTCAGTTTATTAGCGAGAGCTCATCGTTGTTTCATTTTTCTTGTAGCGATACATGTTGCACCAATTTCACTTTAGATCGTATATAAAGGCCGCATTATTTAGATTACTTGAGGGAAGTAATATAGTCTTCGTAAATTAATTTGAAAAAATTTGTTTAAACTTTGTTTACAAGTTCAGCACAACACTGGTTCTAAATTGTAGCTTCTGATCACAATCATGTGCAAAAAGCAACGTTTTTGAGCTTATAAAGTTATGAAGGCCTCCTAGGAAGTTTACATTCTGTTCCCCCGTTTAATTAAATCAATTCTTTTGCTTTCTTCCGGTCTTTTTTTTTTCCTGGCCTCGCCACTTTAATTCGGTGGAAACCTTTCTCCAAAAGTCATGAGGACTGTGAAATTCTTTTCAAGGATACATTGTAAACGGGTGGGAAGGGGAACAAGATTTTCATTTGACTTTTCCGATCAATCTATTAGCTTTTTTTTACATTTTAATTTCTCCGCCTATTTGGCTGGATCGCGCTAATAATTTGTGTATTGTTTGAAATATCTTATTCAGCCATTACCGAAAACTGATAATAAACTAATCATATTATTCACCTTACCTAAGAGAGGATGAGCTTTATCTTATCTTGCATTACCTTAATACCAACCTTTCCATCTTGTCCAGGCAGCCCCGTTTCTCCCTTTTCACCCTGAACAAAAAAGGATTATAAATAAAACCAGGTCAAGCAATTAAATACTACATATGCTATAGTCATTCTGCTATAAATATGACGACATAGCTGCTTTACGATTTGAAGAGAATACAGCTTCAACATGATGTATGGTGTTTTATCACATCAGTTTGCGACTTTAACGGTCTGAATCCCTGCGTTGTAGTACTGTATATGGTGTGGTTCAATTTTGTCCTTGGATGAAATTGTAGTTTCTTTAGTTTCAAACTCATTATCATGCATTACCATAACCAAAAAGAAAACAAAATAGAATTTTAAACCAAGGTTAAAATTGAACCACAACATATGCAACCTCATTAAAGGAAGGAAAAAATTTAATTTCTTTTTTCAATCGAGGCACTAATGAACATAAATGCATTATTTGTCTTCAAATAAAATTTTATGCAACAATTTAGCCTCACATAGGTTATTAGTACAGTAATGTGGAAAGAGGCTAGGAACATGGAATCGAGGGTACTGATTTGAATTTTGAATTCAAGATGGCGTCTTTAGGTAATGTCGTATTCATTGATCGTCGTATAATGGATGTCGCGTTCTTGATCTCGTTGACAAACAAAAATTTTTTCATCAGCCCTCCTCCTCCCCATTCCTGCCTCTTCTTTGTTCTATGGTTTGTATTTTTCAAGCGGTTGATTGCCCTCACCTTCGCCGGCCATACGTGTTTAATGGCCTAACTGACAAATCCTAGCCTAACAGGTTTCTAAAGACCAGCGTTAGTTACCATTTACTTAAGAAAAGCTTCAAAAATCGGTGTTCATTTACCCTAATCGGTTAAGATAATACAAATTTACGAAGCTCAGACTTTAAACAATAAGGGACTTTTCATAATATAGCTCGAACTCGGATAACTCGAATTCTCCGCTAACTCGAACTAAATTTCCTTTCCCTTGACCAAAATTTCGCCGAAGTTTACCCCTATTACTCGAATTCCCCGCTAACTCGAAGTGTTTTCCCTTCAGAGTTTGAGTTACCGGGGTTCTACTGATCTTCAAAAGATCAGAGGTTTCTCAGAATCTACCCCTTAGAACGCTTTGAGACTTGCATTGTGAAAAGTTTAACCTGAACACATCGGTGCGATACCAAGAATATAACCATGTAGATAAATTTTGGTAATTACAACTGAATTCTGTTCGACGGATTTGGGGGTTTTAAACCAGTTATTCCCTCAACAACGCCTTTGTTCCAACAATTGAATATTTGCTTCATGATAACGATGTTGTAGCGCTAGCTGAGAGAGTATTGCACAAAAAGTACAAGCTCTGACAAAATGTTGTAAACCATTACAAACCACCAAAGAAAAAAAAAACGTAATTACAAATTCCCAACCTTTGCTCCAATTGATCCATCTCGTCCGTCACGGCCATCTCTTCCTGTTTAAGAAAAAATAACAACATTTTTAGCACATTATCATTCGAAGCAAATTTTTCTTTCTTTTCATTGGCCGAGAGCCCACCATGTGACCTGCAAATAACTGCCTACAAATAATGGTCTGCTCATGCGCAATGCCGTTCAACTGTGTTTGGCTGCAAATAATATTCTGCACATGCCGTGCTCTTCTCCTTCTTGCGAACGCTCTAGCGTGAAAATGGCAGATCGCTTCGCTTCCCGGCCGAGGATATTCATTAAAAAAACAAACTCGGTGATGGAATGATAAAACAATTATTGAACTCGATTATCGCAAAATATCGTGATTTGTCAATGTCTCGCAAATAATTGACCTGCTCGCCACAGACAAATCACGATGTTTTGCTCAACCTCGTCCAATAATTGTTGATTATTTCTCAAACCTTAATGCAAGAAAATCGTTAGAGTCAGAGGTTATCAATGCCGTTGTTTAAAGTCAAAAACTGAATGTAACATTTCACATTTTAACTGAAATGTTAAAAGTGTTTAGCTCATTAAATGACTGAATCAATATGCTTCGTTGCAACTCCAAAAAACGTGAGAGAGAATAAACACTTATAACGCAATTCATTTAAACGTAAAAGGGAAATAATAATAATAATTATAACGACCTTTACAAAAAGATGTATTATTATTATTATTATTATTATTATTATTATTATTATTATTATTATTATTATTATCATCTCCTGATCTACTCCAAGCGGTGCAGCAGACATGGGACAAGAGAGCCAGCTCGTGGCTGAACGCTATTCTAATCGAAGAACACGGACTGGCTTTGAACAAGCAGGAGTTTAGGGACTCCCTTTGCCTTCGCTGCAACCTCCCTTTGCCTAATTTCCCTAGTTACTGTGCTTGTGGAGACTGTCAACCATGCGTTGATATGTAAGAAGGGAGGTTTTGTAGCCCAGAGACATGATACAATCCGAGATCTTCTGACATCACACATCAGTAAAGTGTGCAGAAATGTGAAGACAGAGCCACTCCCGCAACCACTCGACAATGAAGTATTCAACCCTCAGTCCACTGTTACAATTCGAGAAGCGATGCTGGATATGAAGGCAGGAGGTTTTTGGACACCTGGAGTAACGGCATTCTTTGACGTACGTGTAACGCATGTTAACTCCCGGTCCAACCAGGGCAAGTACACAGCTACGATCTTCAAAGAGTAAGAAAACGAGAAGAGGAGGAAATACAACCAGAGAGTGATGGATGTAGAGATGGGAACTTTTACACCACTGGTGTTTGGAACAAACTGGGGCATGGGACTCGACTGTCAGAACTTTTAAGAACTCTCGCAAATAAGCTTTCGACTAAGAACAATGAACCCTACGCCAGCGTTATTTTTTAGCTTCGAATACAGCTCTCATTTGCTATATTAACAACTGTACACAGATGCGTCAGAGGTTCTAGATATCCATTCAAATCACGTGAGGTCTCAGAAGACTTCACTTTCGCTGTACCTGGTCTACATCTTCACTCATAATTTTAGGCCTAGATTTTTGATAGTTATTTTCTTAGTAATGCTTGATTTTCCTTTTCCCACTTTTAAATTATTCACAATTGTAAATAGTTTTCTATCGTGGACATATATTTAGTTTTTAATTTGTAAACAATACAATATAATTTAATATTGTAAATATTACTTATTGTTCGGATACTTAAATAAAATCGAAAATTTATTATTATTATTATTATTAGAAGAAGAAGAAGAAAAAGAGAAAGATGGACGGTTATGTTGGTTTTTAAAACTTGCCATTTTGTCCATCTTTTCCATCTTTGCCTATGAAAAAAATACAGCAGTCAATTATACAGATGAAAAAATCTGATCCTCCTGCTGTATTTACCTCATGTTAATCACTCACACTAAGCAACACCCTCCCTTATTGACTCGAAGCTGTCAAATTAGCTTCCCTCGCATTTATTTAGCAATGGAAAGAATATGTCCCAAGGATATATCTTTTCTCACTTTGATTGCACCCAGGGATCAATAAAAGAAACGATCAAGCTAAGAACTAAGTTAAAAGCCAAGTTTCTGTTCCATTAAGTTTGATTCAGCTACCCTCTTCATTCACTTGTGCCTTAGAGTTTATTATTATGGTTTTTTATCGTCTTACGGGTTACTGGAAAATTCCGAACATCTCGATGTTTATTCCACGAAATAATCGTAGTTCTAGATTGTAAACGCACTCAGTCAAGTCCTCTATTTTCTTATCATAATATATAGAACGTTTATATTACTTGTCAGAGCTTTCTTGCGAGAAATCTGATGACACAGTTTTGTTCTATTGAACTTGCTAAGGGTTTTTGAATTTTCTTTAATACTTCTCTAAACTTCCCAGGTTATGCATCTTGTTTCAGTGATATTATCCCTTTAAACCCTAATATCAAAATTAAGATTCTCATTTACCGACCCTTTACTTTTTCAATAGAAGTAATGGGGAGAATTTGTTGAAATATCAATTAGACTCATCTTCCCTTCTGATCATGTACTCAATTCTCAAGACTGCTCTGTTTTCTAAACTGAAGCATTGATATTATAAGGAGAAATTTCATGCTGATTACTCTTAGGGCCCTCAGGGTGAAATAAAAAATTTGAATACATCTCAGTATTACTGACCTGAACTAAGCTCCCAGACACAAGTTAAACACCGAGTGAATGTTAATTTTTTTTCCATTAAGTTCTCTGTGAGCTAAATTCGTATTTTCTAATTGGGTGTATTTTTAAAAATACATCATTTTTGTTTGTTTGTTTGCCTTTTTGATTGAAAATTATTGAGCCGTGTTTTCACTATTTCTTTGATGAACTCTACACAAACTGCCCTGTAATTCAGTTAATGCCACGTTATTTTTATGACTCGCCGTGCATGTTAATGTTAAAACAATTAAAAATAAGGTAACTACATCACCGTTCACTCCATCACGTCCATCTTTCCCTGTATAGGAAGAAAAGTAGAATCGATGGATAGCTTACTTATACTGTCGGGTCTTTTTTTGGGCAGCAGCAAATGACACTTGTCCTTTTCATATTTTGGCACTGCTTAAAACTATTTCTAAACTAGAATCATAATGCGCCATAAAAATAAAACTATCTCAGGCGTAGGTTTTCATCCTAGATAGTCGTTGAAATTTATGATGCACATTTCCTTCAGATACAAATTCGGTCTAAATATTTATGCCGGCAAACTACGAATTTATGATCCTATGTGGGTTTTTAATTATTATTCGTTTGACGACATCTACAGCCACCAAGCTAATGTAGTCAGGAGAATGCCACGTTGTTTTCATGGCTCGGTGCATTTTCAGTGGTGTACATACAATACCGAAAATAAGAAAATATATTACCATTCAATCCATCCCGCCCATCTTTTCCTGGAAAGGAAAAAAGGTGGAAAAAGCAGTCGGTCATATTGTAGAAAGACTGTGTTGTGAAGAATAAATTTATTGCTCGCGACAGAGCGAAATCTCTCTTAAATTGCCTTACCATTTTGCCCATCTTTTCCTGGGGAGAAATACCCGTATTTATTCGACTATAAGCCGAGCGATTTTTACACAAATCAAAACTGAATTGAATTAAAATTTGGGCTCTAGAGGGGGTCTCGGCTTATAGCCGAAAGTTTTTTGAAAAAAAATTTTTCCCGGCGCATGGAAACTCTACTAAATCGAGATGTATTTACGTATAAGCCGAGCTAAAGTAAAGAAACACAATATGCAATCGTTGGTTATTAACTTTTAAGAATGTGGTGGCTCCTAAAGGAGACGTTTGATAAATTTAATGTGTTTTCACGGAAAAGATAAAGATTCTTGATAGGGAGTAACCGTGACGCTGACGGGATGTGATTACAAATCGAAAGAACTTGACTGTTTGCTGCTCCAAGTCTTCTGGGAGACGCTGAGCGAGTGTTGTTTTGGTGCGAAGGCTGACGGAATGGCGGCGTTTCCATTTCTGGTACCAGCCGAGGGACGCTTTAAACTCAGAATCCTCGCTGAATTCCTTTGCCTTTAGACGTAGTATCAATCCGCTAACAGCTATTCCTATGCAAAACGAAGTGAGAAGGTTACCAAACGATCGAAAGGTTAAAAATTTGACACGTCTTGAATTTGTTTTGACATCTGTGAAAACTGGCCAATGAGGATCTTTCATACACAATATTGTCACATGATACTACGATAGTTTTGAGAGTCACAGAGCGCTTTCCATTTACGAAAAAAACCCGGAAATTTCGGTGGTAGCAAAAGTGGAATTTCCGATTGGTAAAAAGTTGTTCCATTTGGTTGTAAACCCCGGTACGTGGCTGGGTGCCCGACCGTGGACCTGGAACTGGTACAAACTACAAGAAACGTAAATGGAACACGACATTCCGTTCGGAAATTCCAACCGGGAAATCGGGACCACCTTTTTAGATTTTCCACTTTTTCTGGGAATTTTCCAGTGGGACGAACCGACGAAACGTGTTCCATTTACCGCCGAACCGGAAATTCCGGAAATTTTGACTAAATGGAAAGCGCCCACACATTCAACTCATATTCACTCTGCAATCAGGTGATTGATTTATTTCGTGATCTTGTTTCCGTTGTTTTAAAATACAAAATCAATGCTCGACAAAAAACTTACCTTGGCTTCTCTCCTCTGTAAACCATTCCAGTATTCTTTGATCGCGCTCTGGATACTTCGGCATGAAGCATCCCATCGTCTTCCGTTTCGCTGACAATTTAATCTCGCCGTTAAAAAGGTTCGCTTGATCTTTCCTCCAGCGACGGACCATGGACTCACTGATGCCATATTCTCTGGCGATTTCAGAGGTATTTTCAACAGCTTCTGCTTCGGCGACTATTTTAAATTTAAGCGCGAGGTTGTATGACGTGCGACGAGCCTTGGGCATGATGACAACTTGACTTGAAATAAACGATTGCGAACACGAGATTGTTTGATAGACGCTACGGATGTCTAGATACTGTTGATGCCGCTTAACAACACAGTTAGTTTTAAATTCATTTTTTGGATCACATTAATTCATCTGAGTTATGATTCATTGCTTTTCAATTGAATAGTTAGTTACGGGTAATATTTATTAATTCGCGTGTGTTTTCTAAGAGGGAAGCTTTTTGCATAATAAATCACCATTGCATCTCTTGTATACGCGTGTTTGTGTTATCGTCTAAGCCTCATTTATGACAATCAATGTGATTTTTTTCCGAAAATGTTAGGTTTTCCCGTAGTTAACAATTCAGTCTTGTAATAATGAATGGGTCTCGGCTTATAGCCGGGTGTTTTCGATTTATTTTTGGTTCTCGTTATGCCGAGTCTACACGTTCAAAGTTTGGGGTCTCGGCTTATAGCCAAGATCGGCTTATAGTCGAATAAATACGGGTAAATAAATCAAGTGAGCCTCTGATTAACGTTTAAAAGGATAATGGCAGAAAAAGCTGTGAGGGGACACAAACATCACATTGAATGTTGAATTTGAGTCAGAAACTTATTTCACGACTATGATTTACTTACCATCTCTTCCACATCCAACTAGGGATACACTTTTACAGTTGATTTCTTTTCCGAGAGATTTGTTCGCCTGTTTGATTAATGATAGTCCAATAAAATAAAGGAGATTATAAACAACCTGGCTGAATGGCACGAAAAATCTTCAGGGGGTAACTTTAAGTTACGGACTTAAGGGATCGCATATAACGCAAGACTAGTTATTGTCGCAAATCAACTACATACGGCTTACTTTAGAGGAGTCGTTTTGTGATGTTCCGAACGAACCGACCAAGAAAATGGCCAAGGCTAGTAAGAATAACAAGCGAAACATTTTCTGTCAGTGATTGCTTAAACGCTAACTGAAGAAAAACTAGTGTCAGGTAAAAAGGGACTGGATTATTGAAACAGTGTTTGGTATAATATTACTAGGACAAGAAAATACCCGATACATTTCCTTTGTTTATTCTGTTTATCTGCTTAATTCTAGCGTGATGTAAATCTTAAATTCTGATTTATACCAAGGCTAATTTTTAAAAAATCGGAACTCAACTTTAAACAATTTTAAAAGCGTCGGGTTTGCCAGGTTTGCTATTGAGGTAACAATCACCCCGTCTTTGAGTTTTTGAGTTTTAAATTCTCACTTTATTGTCATTGTCGATACTGAATATTGCTGAAATGATTTTCTCTCACGGTTCGTGAATCTTTTCAAAGGCACTCATGCAAGAAGTCTATATAACGGATTAGTTTCTACACAGGACTTCCTAGTGTTCGGAGAGTACATGTAGGAAGCGAAGGTAAAAAAGAAGAACAACGTTTTTCTGTCATTTCTCGTTCCATTTTTTACTCCGCGCCGCTCCCTACCATCTGAACGCCTGGACCAGGCTATGCTATCACCTTTTCTCAAGTAATAAGTGGAATCGAAACTATTGATTTTGTCAAATCCTGTTTCATTCCAATAAAAAGGAAAGATAATCTCGACATTCAAGTATCCGGAATAAAGTGAAAAAAACTAAAGGTAGTCTCAGAAACAACGTTCATTTACTGTGTGACCCTTTAAACAAAAATGCAGGAAAAGGATAGTACGCGAATCACGTTATATAGACCCAAGCCAAACAGGGTCGGTGAATCTAATTAGATCTTTGTTGATCAGAGGCGGTGGTAGCCTGAGTATCAGTTTCGGAAGGCCTGATACTCAGGCTAAGGCGGCGGAGCATTTTAAAACTTGTGGGGGGCGGGGGCGGGGGGGGGGGTGCGGGGGGTGCGGGGGGCTAATATTTTACTCGCTCCATGCGCAAACACCAACTCAAATTTTCCAAAATGCCCTTTGCGTTGTTTTTTGGCACAAGCCAATTCTTTGCAATCTCCACAGTGTCTAGTGTGTCCGTAATCGATTTTTGACAAGTGCATCTGTTAAGGCAGTTGTTCAGGCGGTATTTAGGTAGTTCTTGAGTCATCTGAGGGCAGAAAATGTGCACTCTGATAGATGTCGCCAATGCCACGGTCGCTAGCGATTTTAGTCGGCAGCAAAACGTAGGGGGCTGTACCCCCGCTCCCACAAATTTTTGTGTGGGTTGGGTCTTCGGCGCCCCCTGGCCCCTGCTCCGCGCCGCTTATGTTGACATCCTAACAGCGCAATAGCACTAAGGCTATTTTACCGATGAAATTCTCAGTCTGGCTTTAAAATATAAGTTAATCAAGTAGGTTTCGTCTTCTTATCAAATAGCCATCTACTCTTTTTTTGATACATTAAATAATATCGACTATACAAACGACTGACAGAACAGGTTGAATTTTCTTTCACTGACAAATAATGTGAAATTGTGGCGTTAAGTTTGAAGTTAAGGCTAGTTAAGGCATGCGGTCCAGTCAAAAAACCTTCTACATTTTTTTTCTTGTAATTTTTGTACAGTGATTTCACTGTTATTATTTACATTAAAAAGGGTGGAAAAGATTGAAAACATAAGTAGTCCGATGTGTTTCGATCAATTGCGTAATCATGAATAATCTTCTGGAAACAGAAAACATGAAATAGTTCAAAATGCGAAGCCTGGACGCAGCCATTGTCGACTTAAAATAAAGAGGAAAGGACCAATTTCCAATTGACTGTATATACTTGATTGAAAAAACGTTGTCGCTTAAAAAGTACAAACCATGAACGATGAGGCTTAAAGGATTTATGGGTATACGTTCATTAACTAAGCAAATTCAAAGTTCGTACAACAAAGGTTTACATTTGTCACGAGCTGCTCGTGTGGGTGCGAACCCCAGAGTATTTTGTTTTCTATTTATGTCTTCCTAGAACGCCTTTAGGTCGTTATGATTTTCAAGTGTGCGTAAGCGACATGGGTACGCTCTTTCAGTAAATGTAGAGACCTCTGATGTGCCCTGCACAGGTAAAGTTGTGAGCTTATCACCAAGAAAACTGAAAACCGTTTGACCTTTTTTGGAATGCATCGTCGCGAAAAGCTTCGATAATGTAAACGTTTCTAGAGCGAACTTTAAATTTGCAATGGCAACCGTCCCGTTCTACCCATTTATCTATTCGATCCCATCGTTCATGGTTTAGACGTTTCAAGCGACGTTTTTTCAATCAGACGTATTTTCAAAGGGTCACGGAGAGTCAGTATCCATGAGTTATAAATGCACTGAGAAACAATCGTTTAAGGTGGATAGAGAAAGAGGAGAGAAGACCATGCACCCTGCCCCTAGGTCCACCCCTGTGTGTCAAACAAATTTTATCAAAGTATGTGTACTTTTATTTCTGATCGCTTTGCATGTTTTTGCATTGTTACGTCGCTAGCTAAATAATACAATCTCACGCACTGTGCTTTAAAGCAATAACAGCCGTTCAAACCAAACAAACAAATCCTGACTTTTAGTTATTTTTTTTGATCTGGACAGAAACTCTATGCGAATCTGCATGTCTCATATTTGGGCTCGCCAGTGCGCCCCGGACGTTTACAAAAATTATGAAGCCTGTGTTGGCAAACTCTACGGAACTTGGGGATGCGCTTGATTCTATATAATGATTACCTGCACGGCCTCGTAATCCTGGCAATTAAAATTGCTCACACCCCTTTCTCACTCTTGACAGTGACTACAGGAAAGAATATACACTATCCTCAACAGGGCAGTCACAGGCAAAAGAGATGAGACTCGTCTTTGCCTTAAGATGGCTCGCTTGGATTTTTCACGGGCCTTTCCCCCATTTTGAGCATTAACTACGTCGCCATTAACAAAGGCTGGACCACATAGATACAGAAAATTGGCCATGATAACTGTTACATTGACATCGGAGTAGCTATAGCAAAAAAGTACGTCATAACTTAAAGAAGTATTGCTTCCAGCCACATTTCTTGGCGCTGTGAGGTTTTTACAAAATTATTTACGGGAGCCACTGTAGTTCCTCCAATAGCTACTATACCTCGCTGTTTGTGAAATAAGAAAAAAAATCTGTAAGGTATTATTCAACTATCAACTAGGTGAATAGTGGTGGGTATATATATCGAGACGCGAAGAGTCGAGGTATATACTGTAGCGCTGTTCACCGACCCTGAGGGGGATAGTTTTAATATTTACCAAATCAGTTGGATAAAAATGAAAAAAGTAAACTTTTTTAAATTAAAAACGGCACGTAGTAGGAACTTTGTTTACAACAAACAAGTCGGGATTTTAAATTCTTCACGCAGTAGAACAATTAGGTCACTATTTTCGAGGTAATTTTCGCTTATGTAATCCAATTAACTTCAAAAGGAAGAAAAAAGCGTTTAGACAAATACGAAATCATACTGATTTGGGAGGCAAAACATGGAAACGAGGTCGAGCGAGAAAGCCAATAAACATGCATAATAATTTGCGTTTGCTTAGATTTGTTTCTTAGGAATTCATCTTTTAAGATAATTTACCTACATTTGGCAAAGAAAATGGGTTGGAATAATCGCGAAAAAGATTGAAAGAACGCGAGTTCATATCGTTGTTTTGTTAAAATGCGACGTTTTTACCGCTACCGCCGTAGTGGTGTCTTAAACGTTAGGCGTGACGGAAAAAATTACTTGCTTAAAGTCTCTCTTATCTCGGTGTTCCACAAAGGTCGGCTACAACTTCTAGAGATTATCCTGGAAACAGGCAGGCTTCTTCATGCGGTCCGACATCTTTCACTTGTCTAACAAACAGCTAAAAGTTATTGTCGATTTGCCCCGTCCCCATCCCATAAGACAAGACAACTTCGAACGAATCCCCGCCTCCGGGTCCAAGGGGTTTGACTATTCCCGGGGGTTGACAGGAGACATGAAAAAAGTTAAAATTCAACCACACATAAATCGGACTTAACAAGCGCTTGTCAATTCCACGGGGATCAATCGTATCTAGAAACTGAAAGCTAGACTTTTCATTCACCTTAAATTGTTGCATGAAGCTGTAGCAGAGATTGTTGGCTGAAATGATAAGAAAGAAAAATAAATCGATTTATCAATTGGTTTCGGATTCTTCATTGTTTTGCCTTAATCATCGCAACATATTCGCTAAATTTGCCTCCTCCATCTTCATCACCCTTTGGTACTTTATTGGTTTGTGCTTATTATAATGCAATACGAACGGATACACAGAAACAAGCAACAGATTTAGTTTTGTAGGATTTTCATTCAAATAAAAGTAGACACCCTTTTAGTGTTCCAAGCACATCTTTATTTTAACTACTCGCCGAAAAAATAAAGCAAAATTTGCTTTCTAACTTTTCCCACTAAATCAACTGCAAATATGTCATTATTTCATCATTCCTTTGGCATAAAGACCCCTAGCCTTTTCACCATAGATAAACAGTGTTACCCTGAAAGTTCCTCTTATTTCTTACTTTAGCAACTGAAATGTTTATTACTACGTTATTCACTACGCAAAATCTCGTTAATCAGCTTCGATCCTGATATTTAATGCTCTACACCCATTTGTACAGGGCGCTGTTAGTGTTAAATTTCTGGTTCCAGTAGTTTGCAACTGCCAGATAAGTATGACCTTTGTACTCAAATGACGTCAAATCATGCGCTCCATGTGTCGGAATCTCTTGGTACTTGACGAACTGCGCTCCAAAGGCCTGGTACACAACCGACTTAACGCTTTTTCCCTGACCGTCACCATTGTGATTAGCTAAACCCAGGTACGTGCGACCACTGATCACAAATGGGAACCATGCAATACCACCTCGACCAGGAATGGACTGGAACAGGACGAACGTGTTTCCATTCCACTTATAAATGAAGGAGTCGCTGTTGTATTTACTTCCAGAATAAAAGTTGGCAAAAGCGAGGAAAGTGTGACCGTTGATGTTAAAGGACCTCACGTCTCGGGCACCATATGTCTGAATAGACTGCAGTTTGACAAAGTGTCCCCCAGTCCACTTGAACACAGTAGACTGAACAGAATACTTGTGTTGGGAGTTGTAATGATTTGCAAAAGCAATAAAAGTGTCGTTGTTTATGACAAATGCCGTACATCCATGAACACCTTCAGTTGGTATTTCCTGAAACTTAATAAATTTGTTGCTGCTCCATTTGTAGACTACTGATTTCGTTGAATAGGTACTTCCATCATAGTTGTTTGCAAAAACGAGATAAGTTTCGCCACTTATCTTGAAATAGGTGAGGTGGGTTGCTCCGTAAGTAGATATTTTCTGAAAGTCGACAAACAGCTTTCCATTCCATTGATAAATTGTAGAGTCCAGCTGATATGTTCCATCGAACACATTAGAAACAGCAACGAAATGTTTACCAGCGATTGAAAAGTGCTCAAGGCAACTGGCTCCTCTAGTCTGTAGGGTCTGGTATAGGGAAAATTTTCCTGTCAACTCGTCCATCTTGTAGATTTTGGAGCTCGTCTTCCCTTTCCTAATGTCCCCATAATGGTTGGCAAAAGCAAGAAACAGGTTACCATCAATAGTGAATTGATCCACGTACACTGCTCCTTGGCTTGGAAGATCTTGAACTTTCTCAAAGAAGTGGAAACCAGAGGAGCAATCTTCATCAAATCAGAAACACAAAGTAAGAATATAGTAAATTCATTTCTTGTTACAACTGATAACAAAAAAACAACAAAATACCCCAAGATCAGGCCCAGTTTTAGTGACACTGTATTACAAACTTGTTTCATCCAGCCGAATCTTTCTTTTCTGACAAGGGTTCTTCCACTGTCAATACTAAAAACTAGTTATAGAAATATTCCATTATTAAAACTTAAAAAAAGAATATTAAAATGCATAATATACTAAGAATCTAGACATTCACAAACTTAACAAATAATTAAAGACTTTTGCGTTAAACTTCATATCAGAAGTTTGCTTAATCTCGTTTGGGAGATTGTTATGCAGCTTTGCACCTCGCAAAGCAAATAATCGCTTTCCTGTATTCAGCCTACAGATTGGTAAATCTAATTCGCCACTCCTTGACTGTGTCTAGCGTTTCTGTCGTGAATCTTCGAACGCTGAATAAATGTTTCAATGAGATAGCTGGGTATCTGGTCTTGAATATACATATGAACCATTACTAGATCATTTAAAAGCGGTCTACCATTCACGGTGAGCCACTTCAGATCGGTCCGACTTCTTTCACTTGTCTTACAAACTACTTAAAGTTATTGTCGATTTGCCCCGTCCCCACCCCATGAGACAAGACCACTTCCAACAAATCCCCGGGGGTTGTCGGGAGACACAGAAGGGGTTAAAATTGAACCACACATAAATCGGACTTAACAGGCGTTTGTCATTTCCACGGGGATTAATCGTGCCTAGAAACTGAAAGCTAGAATATTTAAAAAATAGTGGGTATATTAGTGAATGCTACTAGTGAGAATATTAAAATAGTCAGTAATCAGGTCGTATTTCTTGAAACCAGAAACAGTTCTAAGTTCAGGAATTAGGAAGAATTAGGAAGGACTACCAGGGGTACCTTCCGGCAAGTGCCAACGAGGCGAATTTGTTTAACGTCTGTGGAAAGTGCCTACTCAGATCTTCGCGATTTGTCACATAATTTTAGAGGTTTACTATGGATTCCGCTATAGAAAAGGATGGTACTCGACTTTGAAACAATAACAACTTTGGCACATTTTAGGCTTTCACTTTTATTAAACAATTATCATAAAAATCTAGTCGAACCTCTTCTAGTGGCCACCTTCTTCTGTCCCGGCGGACAACCAGTAAATCCACTTTCGTTTTAACCCTTTAAACCCTAAGATCAAAATATGAATTCTCATTTGTTGCCGCTATCCATTTCCTACAGAAGTAGTGGGGAGAAGTTGATAAAATATCCATCAAATTCATCTTGTGTGATCGTGTCCGTAATTCTCATGATCACTCTGTTTTACAAAGCATTAATAGTACAAGGAGAAATTTGATGCTGATCACTCTTAGGGCTTAAAGGGTTAATCTCTCTAAAACGGCCATTTAAAAGCGAGTGAAGCACCAACTGATATATTCCTGTACCTTCTTCCCTTTGCTTAGTTAACTTTATTTTTTATTGTTTTTGTTTAATTAACCTATATAGATTAATCTGTAGTTTAAAAAACTACAAATTTTCTACCCTTTTCCAAAAGAAAGTACTGGTCTCAAAGGCCACTCGAAGCTGACTCGTCTTTCTACAATGGCCTCTTATCTCCGTAACCAAGATGGCCGTTGTAGAATGGTTCGACTGTATAATTTGATTCACCATATAAGATCACTCGTTTCCGTCTTCCAAACTGATCTTTTCCTCTCACTTACATTTAAATGAAATTTCTTAGTCTCTAAAAAAATGTGAAAGTGGCATTACCGGGTGCCACAATAAATAATTCAAATGTTCTTACCGGCTGAACAGCAAGTTGATGCAGTAGACGATAAGCTCTAAAATGCATAACAGAAAAAAGGGAAACGAAACGTTATAAAAATTGCGCGTTACTGAGTGTGGCCGGGTTTTCTGAAGTCTTAATCGAGTTCTAACCGGGTTATGCAAATCAAGCAAGAACAATAGATTTTCTCAACCAGGTTAGGTTTCTTTAACGCACCTCGCTAGATAGTTAAACGCAGGTTAACCTTATCAATCAGTCATTTTCTTTTATCTTATTCTTTAAATCTTTAATTTCCACCTTAGCTTTTCTTAACTTCGGTAAGTGACATCATAAATGAGCTAAATTGTTAGCCCCACTAAGGCAAGTAACGGTTTTACTGTCCTCAAAGAAAATCAAGGATACACAAAGATTTTGGCTCTTTCTCATCAAATTCTGGTAAACCATATTAGGTTCCATATGAGTTTTTCCAGATTTTGGAAAACAAATAACCGTCTGGTGTGATAACGCGTAACAAATTAAAAGGTAACAATGCCCATATCCGCCTTCGCGTTCGGAAGCCAAATTCTGAATTTCTAATAGGAGATATCAAATTCAAAATCACAACATCTATTTTTTGCTAGCTATCAATAACTTTATTACTTTTTAAGAGGAAAAAACCCTCAAAAAGTAAAGTTTCCCGGAAAATCTTAAGCCGAGAAGAGATTATATATTTAGTACGGGCAGAACAAGTTAAAGCATTATTTGCATGAAGTATAAGACCAGCGCCAGACCTTAGCATCACACGTTCCAGGCATTCCTTTCTCTCCTTGTAATCCTTTGTCTCCATGAGGTCCCTTCTCACCCAGATGGAAAATGGTAGAAGTTAGCAAGTTAATTAGATAGGAAAATGCAATTATGTAAACAAATGTTCACTGTTTCATTTTTCTCGTATGTCCTCTTTTAGGTAATTCCAGTAAATTAATATAGCCCATGAAACAAGTCAGTTTCTGATCTGATTCACACATGGATATCTGTGCAAAGCTTAGGTGGTCGATGGTCTGTCTTTTTACTTAAAATATTTCATTTTCAGTATTGGCTGTACTAATTTCGGTTAACAAGCCAAATAAACTGAACCGTGATAAAATTTGTTATTATTTTTTGAGAATAAATTAACAAAAGAAGACAAAAACGTAACTGAATGTGGAAAAGGTAAAAATAAACACACATATGAACGATCTATGTCAAGTGCTGGTTCCCCCAACTGCCAGCCTTATTTACCCTTTATTTTTTCTTAAAATCAAACTCGTCAGTATTATTGGATAGTTTCCAAAATCAACTGCAAACACCAATAATCATTGTTGTTCACTTTATGGCTGAGCACTATAACACTGTGTAAGAAATTTAAAACGAGTTAAGTGGTAGAATAACATAATTGACTGTCCCTGTCCTGCGTCCCTGCGGCACCGTTTAAAAGGAAAATCACTGAAAACAGTAGGTCGTAGCAAGGATTACATTAATCAGTTTAAGCAATTAACTAACTGTACCTCTGTGATATTTCATTATGCTAGTTTCACTTTACAAGTTGAAAGCAAACTCGGCTATAATGACTGGAATTATTTCAAAGAAACTAAGGCCGCTTAGTACCACATCAATAAGTGTTTCTATAGCTGTTCAAAATGTTTTATCCATGATTAAATGGATTGGCAGGTTCAGATAACCAAGGCTAACATTACAATGGGGGAAAGAGGACAGTTTTGCCGGCTCCAATGATTGAAGGGTTGCATGGAGAAACCGAGGGTTTAGAAAAAGAAGCTAGGATTCCACTCAGTATTTCAAATTTAGAGGCCGCTTGGAACCCAGTTTATAGAGGTTCTTCAGCTGGCATTCCCTTAAAGCTAGTTAAACAAATTTTCTGGTCACTATCCAGCCAAAAAGAAAGAAAACTGCCCAAAATCTTGAGTTCAAGTTGAGCACTGTGTTGGCTTCGCCTCTGCCCGTTTAATTGACTGTTATGAATTTATTCTTTACCTGTTTTCTTTTGTTTTCTCCTTTGCTCAGCATTTACGGGAAGTGGAATCATTTTTGTGGGAAAGGTTTCTGCGAAGTCCCAAGAATCTTAAATTATTTCAAAGGAATACAAGCAGAAACTGTGGAACAAGATTTTCATTGGAGGTTTCCGTTAGCTTAACATATGGTTGGGTTTTCCATTTTTCTCTGGCTTGTTTGACTGACTGCCGCTAATTTCGGTATGGTTTCAAAGTTCTTGTTCCCCCTCAGTGCAAAGTGTTAAGCTAATAGTGAAGCACAAATTATTTACTGTACCTTAATACCAGCTTTCCCATCTTGTCCAGGCATCCCCACCTCACCCTTTTCACCCTAAACGAAAAAAGCCACACAAACAAAAAACACACCTTCTTCCACTCCTCATGGAACTACGACACTCTCATCAAGCTCATAATTGGTTAAGCGGTATGCTTTTACATCAAATTCGCTTGAGCCATTTCATCAGCAACTTTATTTGTCTTCTCGATGTAAAAGCATTCCACTTGGATATTTCTGATTTTTCAAAATACAAGAAAGCAACAGACTACATATTTGGAGACAGAATAAGTGATAGAATTAATTATAGAGCTCGATTTTCATGTTTTGCCTTCCTAGAGAAATGGGCCAGTCACAACAAGGCATGATGTAATTGTCACAAGGGGGGATCGGAGTTAAAAGGCCATTGGGCTTTTGTGTGATGTGAAGAATTATGCAAGTCTCAGAGGATGTTATCCACCTCGGCCTCCAGCTTCGGTGGATAACATCCTCCTTGATCTGCATAATTCTTCACATCCGACTCAGTCTGACATTCAATAATTGCTAAATATACAGTATATGTGTGTACAAAATACTGCAGACAATGAAATGAAAGTTGCAACTCGGACCATCTACCTCAGGGGAAAAAACTTATAATAACATTAAGTTAAAAATTATCAACCTTAGCTCCACCTGCTCCGTCACGTCCATCTCGTCCATCACGGCCATCTCTTCCTATAATAATTTAATACACAATAATCAAATATATCATTCTGTCATCAAATTTGATGCCCATTTATAGCTACTTAAGGGAGTGAGTGAGACTTTCTTGTCCAAAAGCAACACAAGGAGGCCAGAGAAAGCAAAGGAAAACTCCATCAGTCTAGGGGGTGATTAAAAAACTCTTTATTCCAAAAAAATGTTGGCTTCTACACATGCCCAAACTTTGACAGCCATTGCATAGCACTGCTGTAATATGTTATAGCACTGAAACAAAACTAAGAGCATTGTTTTTGACTTGTGAACAACATTTTGGGTGGTTTTGCTTCTTAATGGCCAGATATAGTGTTCAGAAAACAGCCCAGCCTCTACGGGCAGTTGTCAGCAAAAGTTCCAGGAGTGAATAGGTTAATGTGGTTTTATAGTATAGGAAACTTCTAATTTCTCCCATCGGTTCTCTCTTCAAATAATAAAAAAATACAGCAACCTACTTAAACAAAGCTGAACTAAAAAATCTCTGCACTATCTTGCAGTTAGAGTTCTTATATTTAAAGCATCCTTTTTGAGCTTTCTGCAGTTTGTTCAGCAAAAAACTTAACAAGTTTTCTGCCCCCACCCCTGGGCCCCATACCTATCCCACCTTGACAACAATAAAAATTGTTAAATATTATTAATTAATGGTGGGTATTAAAGTGCCCTCCTTAAATGAGTATCAAATAAGGTCTGGTCACTTTAAATAATATATACTTTTAGTGAAGGCGAAGCTCTCAATCAGAGGGATCTTTTAAGAATTTTTTTTCTCAAGTGATTCAGCATTTGCCATAAACAGAAAGCAAACTGGATTACAATGTACTAAATTCTACCTCAAAAAATGGATCCCACGATCAATTGAAAACCAATAAGTGGTCAGTGGATAACTTTAAAAAATATGTCACTTCAACGAGTTGTATACCTGAGCCCATGATATAGTCAAGTGACACACTGGTCAGCACATACTCTTTTTTGACAGCTGTCAATTAACTGTCAAGTTTAACACAGATAGTGTGTGCCTTGGCCTGGGCTCCTAGTTAGTAAGGGTTATCTGCTAACATGAAGGGTTACGTGGATGTACGGACAATTTTGTCACTACCAAAATTTTTTGGATGCATAGATAACCAAATTTTCTTACCCAAGGTGCTTTGTGCACCCAAATGAAAACTCCAGGGAGCCCTATTATTGCATGTTACAGCTAGGTTACAAATTTAAAAGCCTTTTGATATGAGCACAGCAATGTTTCATTTTTTTTGAGATTTTTCTCTTGCAAATTACCTTCTTTACAGCAATTGACTTGTGACACAACTGCACAATTCTTCAGTTTTTCTGTGGATCCATTCACCTAGATGAAACAAAATTAACATCTCCATGAAATATATTAGGCCTGAAAACTCACGCAAGGTACAAAAAATAATACTTAAACAACAATAATGCAAGAACTCTCTGATATGCTAAATAATATTATTAAATTAATCAATCTGCAGATTTATCTATATGTGTCTGGCCCACTTGTTTAAAGGCTCAGTAGTGCTAACGTGGGGTAAAATTTTAATAATGTTTCTTTTTCTTTTGTTGAAAGGCATTTTTTCCGACAATTCTCTTCTCTTTCGTTCAGGGCATCAAATCATCAAATTGCAGACTTGAAATTGATGGGATGTATTTATTTGCCATGATTTGTGATTGTAAAAAATCAAAAGCTATGAACTGTGGTCAGTATGCCAGTCATGATAGTTGTGAAACAAAGAAATTTTTTTTCCATTATCCATGATATATTAAATGACCTTAAAATGTTTTTTTTTTTCGTGAACAATGAATAACTATTACTTGTCAAAGACCTACAAAGTCTACAGTCTCTGGGTGCCCCTAATGGTTTCTTAACATGGTCATAATTTACCTGCTTTTAATTACTGTAGTGATGTTTGGCACTTTTGTAGCAAGTGTAGTAAAGACAATTCAGAACAACTCAATAAGCAGGCTTTATTAAGGATGTTTCTGAATAGTAATCTTGACTATGAAACTTTACTTAAATTAATAGGGTCTGTGAATCGTGAATCTTCTCGTGTTCGGAACATGCTAGTCACTACGTACAAGACTCTTTATGGACTTGCTCCACCATATCTCAGATCACTACTGAAAGAATGAACAACAGCATACAACCTCAGAGGTACCCTAAAATTGAATCTACCACAATTTACAACAACCTCCTATGGATTACAATCGTTCGGACATGCTGCTCCCCAAGTATGGAAAAAATCACTGCCTGATAACATAAGAACTTCTGAATCTCTCATTACTTTTAAGTGTGCTATTCATAATATTACTGTGTAGATATTTTTTCTTAACATGAGACTAATAATATGTGCATGCGTAGCAATTTTATACTTTCATACTTATCTATTTTATTGCATTTCGTAAATATTATTATACGCCTAGATACTAGCTCTCTCAAGCTATTCTAAATCCGAGTTCAAATAAAGTTATATGTATGTGTAACTATGTAACGAAGGCAATGGTGATGGCGATGGCAATGAGATCAACAAGTAAATGAAAAACCACAAATTGTACACGTCCAGCATGCTTTTCTTTACAACCTGTAGGAACACAACCGTAAATTTCCTTCTGGGACAATGTTTCGAGCTGAGGAAGTAAACACAGGGACAAATGAGTCCGAATTTGGGTGTGGTCCCCAAGACTCCGTAGGGAAGTTCACCTACATTTGCCAATAAAGAGAGTTGACAGAAATAAACGCAAAAAAGTTTTTTTAAAAAAACGAACACATATTTTGATAGCTAGGGACGTTTTCCTTGCCCTTGCCTTCATCGTTGCTAAGGCTCTCTATAGTCATGAAAGTGACAGTTCCATTTCGGTTTTACTGCAACTCATATGATCAAATGCGGAAAAGTACCGGTATCCAAATAAATTGGAGAAATTGTTTACACTACAAAACATTGCAAATTTACAAGGCTTCTGATTCACTTTAGATTTCTGCTTTAAAATCTATAGAGACTTGCCCAAATCAGCACCTTTTCAATTTGGATTAATGCGCTGCATTTGCTTAAAAATGACAAAACAAACCCACTAACAAAATTATCCGGATTCCACAGCCTTATTGTATGATAGATGATTGACCTGCATCAGTCAATGGACCCAAACATGCGACAAAGTATTTAATAAGTTGCTTATGTCATTTTATATGCAGAAAAAACTCTTAGGCTTACAACGTAACCAAATCTTTAATCAAGGAAGTTTTTTTGAGGGGGGCGGGGTCGGTGGGGTTGTGGGCAAAGCGATTTGGAGAATAGTGTGTACCTCCGAAAAAATCCTGGCTAGCCCCTGTTTACCCCTGGTCCGCAGTCTTCGTTTTACTACGGAAGTAAAACATGTTCATTTTTCAGCGACGCGATAGTGCACTTTCTTTTAATTTTAAAAGGCAAAGGTGATATATTAGATTTTGTACCGAACACAAACAAGAAACAAATTCTCTCGTTCAACTATTATATAATTTCCAAGTATCATTGTACACAAAGTTTTACGTGTAATACGTCAAAGGAACCTTAAAGCAACACATAACTACCAATAAATTTGTAATGAAAGTGACCAACTAGTAAAACTCACCTTTCTTTTTACTGCGGCGACTGGGGCGACATTTTGCAATTACAATAGGGTCCAAAAGTGATTTATCGACAACCGAGCGAACAAAGCAAAAAAATTAAGGCGCTCGTATGGTAGGCTATTATGGAGAAGCAAAGCTGAACCACGTAAATAATTTTGAAAAAATCTAATCCCATACACCATACGCACTTCAACCTTTTTGCAAAAACTCCCAGTGCTAGGAAAATTATTCGAAAGGCGTTACTTTCACTCTGATAGCAGACTGGTACCAAGCGGTCAATTTCCGGCCTATTTGCGGAAGTTGCAAGCCGTTCTTGGTGTAGTCACGCAATAATGAACGGCTTTGCAGACCACAGATCGTCGAGCCCGCGTATGAAAATGAAAACCGCGGAAGAATTTAAAATAGAGGGGTGGGTGAAGTTTGTTCGCCAAATCACTTGCTCGCTGTGGACAGGCTTGGAAGTTGCGTGCATGCTGCTTTTAACTTTGTTATTTTGATTCAGAAACTAAAATTGTACATGTTTTTTGCTACATTATGTCCTCTCCACCAATTTCATGAACAAAAATGAATTGCAAGATATAGCAAACTAAAGAGGATATGAAGAAAGGACTAATATCTACTGATTCACAAGGCGGGCTAATAAAAACATCATGATAGCTTTCACTGCGCCACACAAGAGTAAAGAGGTCTCAGTTGAAAAGTAGAGTAAACCCTAGAAGAAGCAGTTGTGAAGTTTAGGAAATCGCATTCGATGTTAAACTTCTATTCTCGGGAACAGTCAGAATAGTTGACCGCTCCGAAAGTGCAATATTGAATAATCTGTCGCTTTGACGTTACCTGATGTGAAGAATTGTTCTGCGAAGTTCCAAGGGAAACGGCCAAGAAAATGGCCAAAGTCATCAAGAAGAACAAACGAAACATTTTCAGCCTTTCTTAGTAAAAGTGAACTGAATACAAAACATGAATACAAAACGTGAAAATATACGAAGAGGAAGACCCGGCTTTCAGTGATAATGTTTGCTTTCTTGACAGATAAGACAGAAAGTGATCCGGAGTTATCTGTAGTGATCACGTAGTACGATCAGCTTTGCAGAATTCAATTGTCTACCGTCCCCTCCCCACTTTTTACCACAGATCACACTAACCCTTTCTTACCACGGCTCCCCACCATAACCCCTCCACCCCCTAAACTCCCTCTGATACAAGCTTAACCTGCTGTGCATCTAAGCAATGCGATAAGTCCTCCCCCCACCCCTCCCCCCGCTTCCCCGGCTCCAGCAACCTCGCTGGCCAACAATTCAGTGAAATCGTGTATGAATCCCCAGTTGGGAAGGACAGGATATTTTAATTGAGTTCGATTCCTCGTTCGAATCTGAAATACCATGCCAGTAACAAAATATAGGACCAGCAAAGTAAATTGCCTTGTATAGCTTTTTGGCAGGTTTAGTTGTATAGCACTACCCTAGCTGCGTAGCCTCTACCGGCTAAACAATAATGCGTTCATCAAACGGATTAAGACTACAACATCCACCCGGGGGGAGGGGGCAAAACCAGGCATTTGACCATCACTTGCGCCCGTGGAGTGGGGAGTTTGACGCAAAAGACATTCCTGTGGGTGGGGCATTGGAACTTTGCCTGGGTTGGCTGGGGTGGGGAATTCGAGCCGGAAGTTTTAAGATTAACTTCCTTGTATCCAGTGTCTGACAACGTGGTTCAAGATCTATGTATGAGTTCTTTATCTTAGTGGTTTTGAACGAAAAGACACAGCTCTCATAAGCGAATGGCTTGTTCAACAAGGATTACTAGGAGTACTTTTTAAGATTTTTGAAGGTAATGCATGAAAAGGAGAATTTAGTAATTCAATTGATACCGCCAAGATCATGTAGGCCTGTCCCCATTGTGCTCGGCAACGTTTGGGCATTTTTTGGCGTATGGAGCAAATTAGTTGAAGTTCTAGGAACCTTTAGCAATTTTTGCCTTTCTGAGTAATTGTTGAGCAAAATACAGCTATAGAGAACATAGCAAGCCCAAAATAGTCAACGATTTCAAAGAAAACTTCTATTTATGCGAATTTCTTGAATATTTGTCAACCTTTTGAATACATAACCTCTTACTTGACACGGGGGTTGGGAAGGGGGGGGGTGTACTACTTGGAGTTCTTAGTTGGGACGTGCCGCCCGATTATCGTCTGCGTGGGAGGCCAAATACCAGGCGTTTTTCTGTTTACCGTTCAAGGTCCGTAGTTTTAAAGCTTTCTGAATGCTAATATCGTTAAATCTTACTCGTGAGCAACTTTTATAGAAAAGCTTAAAGAATTTAACTTAATATTGCATTCAGCTTTAGTTACTTTTATTTTTGTAAAAGCTTGTACTATTTTTCCTGGTCCATATTGTCATAATAGACTCGCTTTTTTAGTTCTGAGGAAACCTTACTCTGGTTTCTTTCAGGTTTCCTAGCCATCTGCTTTATTGTAATGATGTGTGATATGGCGAATAAATAGATTTTTTGTATGAATAATTTATTAGCTAGTAGTAGCCGTAGTGTTGTTCAGGCTCTTATTGTGTGAGCTTGGGCTACCTGTGGTTAAGTTAATTTCATTTAAGAGTATTCCCTGCGAGCATAGGCGTACGGGCAATTTTCGGCCAGGGGGGGCGGTAAACCATTTGCCCAAAAAATTCTTGCAAGTTGCCCAAATTTTTACAAAACAGTCGAGAAGACACAAGGGCCATACGATGCAACAACATAGGCCGTACGGGCATACGAAAGTGCCGCAATACAGTTTTTCAGGGTCAATATATACCTGCCAAGTTTGAGCATAAACTATACGTTGCCATAAACAAACATTTGGAAAAATTGCCACCACAGTTGTATTAGATAAAGATGAAAATTTGTCATGATCAGGGTTGCAATGACATCGGAGTTGTCATAGCAACGAAATGACGCCATTACCTATTATACTTGCAGCATTATTTCTCAATATGAAATCGTTCTCGGGAGCTTTTTCCTCCAATAGTCGCCTCGGTGTTTGTGAAGTTAAAACAGAGTCTGTAAGAGCGTTATCGGGATAGTTTGGGATAAAGTTTTTATCGCTAGAAATACAGTAAAACAAGGAAAATGTTGTTGTTTAGCCGCTATCTGTAGAAAACGAAGCGCTTTTGACATGCAATTTCACCTCATAGTAGGTTCAATCTTTTTAAAAATGTGTGTGAGTTATTTGTACATTGTATAGGTAATAGCATGATTTGTAGTGATATTTGGCATATATCACGAGTGATATTTCAAAATTGCTACAAAGAAGGATTTCATTAGTATGTATCATGGCGCTCTTGTTAGCGGTTCTGTAAACATTTCGGTCTACTTTAACAAATTAGTGAATAATTTGAACCACTTGATAGATTTTTTAAAAAACATTAAGATTCTTCTCGTAATTCAAAGTGAGAATTAGTCAGCCACTTCTTCACTTTCAGATCAATCGCTGATCCTATCTGCCATACACTGTTCTACGAGCGAAGATGATCCTAGAAAGTTAGGCGGAAGTTTATTCTAATCAATTCCCGATTGGAAATAGCCCATTGAAGCCCAGTGCCCAACGATAAAAAAAAAAACCCTTCCCTTATAAACAGAAACTCATCACGTGCTTGGCAACCATTGTTTCGAGTGAATGTAACTTGATTGTTACGCCGACTTCAGGTTAAAATAGAAAATATTTATCTCTCCAAAATACTCATAAAAAAACATGAAACGTCTTTAAAAGTTGGCTTTGCCCAAATTTTCTCTTGCTGCCCAAGAAATCTGAGTTGCCCAAAATTTGGGGGGGGGCTGCAGCCCCCCTCGCCCCCCCGGCCCGTACGCCTATGCCTGCGAGTCATTCTTTAAAGCTGTGTTTCAAGCTACTTTTCAAGCTATTGTAAAGAACGAATAAAAATAAAGAAAATTAGGTAGCAACTTTTTGGACTTTTGGCAATTTTTTAGCAACTTTTAGGCATTCTAGTGATCAACTTTTCAACATTGGACGAGCACAATCGGGACAAGCCTAATATCATGTGGATTTTGTCAGTCAAGATGGTTATCAGGTTTTTTAAAAAAAACAGTTGTCCTCATTGAACAGAGAAAGAAAGAAAGAAAATTTAAAAAGAGGAAAAACCTTCTGACTTCCACGGTGTGCCAGAACAACTGGATGGCTCTACATATGCACCTGACACGCAAGAAAGAGCCGTATGTAATTCAAAACAAGTGCTACTGGGCGCTGTCCAACTTATGAACAACCGGAGCCTGTACGATAATTCGCGCAGTCGAGATTGGGCATAAAAACGAGGTAAAAAAACGAAAGAAAAGGTTGAGAGTGCCACCGCTTTCAATTTTCCCGATCCCCCAGTTGAAGGCAACGTCTTTCCCAGGACTTCTCCGAAGAGACGTAAAGGTCCCGGTTCGGTCCCGGCAACTAAAGGTTGCATCCGTGGGAGACATCACTGTTTACAAACATAGTTTTTGTTACCTAGCTAATCAAGTTTGTAACGAGTGAATTAAACAAAACAATGCGGGAATCAGTGGAAGGAGGGAGGGTAAACTTTTCTCTCCTACAAACGCTCGCGGCTAAAGTTGCCTCGGTAGGAAGCTGACACTCTTTCCCTTTTTGGAAAGGAAAATTTGGCAAGTATATTTTGGCAGCCTTCGATTTGCTCCCAGAACCCCCAGAGAGCTTGCTTGCAGGCTATGATTTTAGTTGATTGTTTCCTCTCAAAAGATCTAAAGACTGATTTATATTTTTATAGTATCGCGCGCATATATAATGCCGGTATGTCGCGAAGTTTTGCCTGATAAAGAACCCCTTATCATGATCACAAGTTTGACCAACATTCGGCGCACATCCAAAAAAGCTCAATAAATGGGTGCTCTGACTGAAAACAGGAGGGGTTAACTTCCCTGTTAACTGTGGAAATGAAGTGGTGAGTTGGTTGATCAGAGGAGACAGCATGTTATGCCGCTAACTGAGATGATGAAGAAAAATGGCTACTAACGGCTGTAAAATGCATAAAAGCTAATGTTTTAATAACTTGCGTTTCGTCAAAATGAATAGAATTAATTTCGCCGTTCTAACTTTTTTCATTTGCATCTTAAAACGCAAAGCTATATGTTTCTCACGGGAACATATGAAGATGAAGACATGAAAAAAGGGCCATTATTCTCGAGAAAGTTTTCATTTAGCAATAAAATTCTCCTTGGTAGTGTCAGTGGGAAAACTTGACAAGTTTTTTTTAGCTTGACGGAGAAGAACTTGTCAAATTTCCCACTGTATGGGAGCTTGAAATCCATGAAAAAGTTATTTTTATTTTTCATCATTCCCTACCACAAGGACAAAATCGCTTGAAGCAATTCCCCTCCCCTGAGCCCAAAGGGCTGGACTTTTTCTAAAATTTACGAAGGGAGATGGTAACAGGTTAAACTGAACCATTTAGAATGCCTTCTGTGTAGGCCAAACGGTCGAGGCCATATGTTTAAATCGAAACCTAATATAACCCGCTATGGCAGGGCGCATCCAAGTTCCCAAACTAGCATGTTCTTTTTTTTGTGTGAAATGGTAGTATTGCTTTTTTACTTTCAGAAAACTGTTTAAACCTTGTGGCTGAATATCAATCAAAGGCACCCAACGACAGTTTTCTGTAAAATGTGTGATCGGAGAAGCAAATATTGCCTTGACCTTTCTATTACTTGAGGACGGCTAAATATTTCTACATGATCGTGTCTTTCATGTACAATTTTATCTAAAAAAAACTCTGGATAGCTGAAAAAAAAGTGTTTTCAATGAATTTTGGAGGAAATCGTTGTGGGGTGTTCCTGATAAATACTGCAAACTTGAAACGACTTTCTTTAATAGCCCGGTTTTCATCGGGACCATTGAGAAACAGGCCCCAGTTTCGCTTTTTCACTTAGAGTCATACCTGGCTCCAAGGTTGAAAATTAAAGTCCACAACAAAAGTCTTCCAAGCACATCTTTATTGCAACTATTATTTACCGCGATGGTAAAGCAATTAACTACATTTTTTTCCTAACTTTTCACCAAATGAACTACATTCATATCATTATTTTATCATTCCCTTTGCCTAACGATCCCTTCTCAATACAAAAAGACAATATTTCGCTTAAAGTCCATCTTATTTCTCGGGTTTCCGATTCACAAATTTGCTAGTTCTTTGTTAGGCATAACACCCAGCTTATGCTTGGAACGTGACGTTAGCTCTACACCCACTTGTACAGGGCGCTGTTTAGGTTATATTTCTTGTTGTAATGGTTTACCACTGCAAGGTAAGTATGACCTTTGTACTCAAATGACGTCATACCATGCCCTCCATCTGTTGAAATCTCTTGGTACTTGATGAACTGCGCTCCAGAGGCCTGGTACACAACTGACTGAGTGTTGTGTTTCTTACTGTCATCATAGTAATTAGACACACCCAGGTACGTTTGACCGCTGATCATAAATGGGTGCCAAGCGACAGCCCCGTGAGTAGGTAAGGACTGGAACAGGACGAACTTGTTGCCATTCCACTTGTAAACGAAGGAGTCGATGTTGTGTTTACTTCCAGAGTAGCGGTTGGCAAAGACAAGGAATGTGTGAGTGTTAATGTTAAAAGACATGACATCAAATGCTCCATAAGTCTGGAGAGACTGCAGTTTAACAAGGCGACCTCCTGACCACTTGAACACAGTGGACTGAACAGAATACTTGTGTTGGGAGTTGTAATAGTTTGCAAAAGCGATGAATGTGTCACCGTTTATCACAAACGCTGTACATCCGAAGGCACCTTCAGTTGGTATGTCTTGAAATCTGTTAAACTTGCCGCTGTTCCATTTGTAGATAACTGACTTTGTAGAGTGGGTACTTCCGTCATGGTGGTTGGCTACTGCGAGATACTTCTCCCCGTACATCTTGAAGTACGTGAAGTGATTTGCTCCGTTTGTTGACAATTTCTGAAAGTCGACAAACAGCTTTCCATTCCATTGATAGACTGTAGAGTCCCGCAGGTATGTTCCATCGTAACGATTAGCGACAGCAAGAAAATGTTTCTTTGCGATAGAAAAGTACTCCAGGTCAAAAGCTCCTCTTGTCTGCAGGATCTGGTACAAAGACAATCTTCCAGTTGAGTTGTCCATCTTATAGATCATGGAACCTGTCTTGTGCTTTTTAATGTCCCCATGATAGTTGGCAAAAGCAAGAAACAAGCTTCCATCAATGGTGAAATGTTCCACATCTACTGCTCCTCGGGTTGGTAGATCTTGAACTTTCTCAAAGAAGTGGAATCCAATAGAGCAATCTTCCACAAGAAAAAAAAAATGTTGAAAATCTTTGTTATTAAGAAATCACCAGAACAAAACAGCTAAAATAAGCGAGAAGGTACCCGAAATCTCCTTTTACATCTTCTCACTTCTTTATTCTTCTTTAGCTTCTACAACTAACAGCTGGTTCATACTAATCACTAATAACTCCTACTCCTACTCCTAACAATCCAAATAGTGGAGCCTTTTATAGCCAAACCTGGTGATGTTTGGTACCCTGGTCCCAGAGGTTTTTCTTGATTTTTCTTCGCGAAAGAGATCAAGAGCAAACCGCGAAGCGGCGACAACGAGTCGCGAAAGCGACGAGGAGAGAGAGAAAAACCTCTGGTTACCTTGGCCTCGAATCTCACTTTCATGCTGACGACAGGGTCAGGATCTGACCCTCGGGCGTTGATTGGTTGATAGTTTTTCAAACACGCAAACCAATTTGATTGGCTCGTTTAATTGTAACTACCGAGGGGACGCTGAGGATTTTCACACCTCATTTTGCCTCTCTCTACTAGGGAAGAAAATTGTTTGTATGCTGCACTCGCAATAACATTTGCACGGGACCAAGGCACGTAGAGGCACGCCATGGATGTTGTTCCTGAAAGAATATTCGAAGAAATTTTGACCTCGGTACTTAATGAGCGCTTTCCCGAGTCTCACTGAGCAACAAAAGAAAGCTTTGTTCGCTGCGTTGAGTCGAAAGGATGTGTTCACCATTTTATCAACCGGACATGGAAAGTATATTTTCTGTTACAATACTGTCATTCCATTAAATAAACTAACTTGTTTAGGGCAGCAAAATAAAAAATCTCCGAATACGGAATGAAAGTTTCCTTGTAGGAAAAAAACATACAACTTTGTACAAGTGCGTAATCATTTTCGGTGCAGCTTGATTTTCCTGCGACGCCCAAAAAAGATCTAACCGACGCTATTTTTGGCATAGACCTATTCGGCTAACTCAATGTTGTACCCAATTCAAATCTCCCGGGGATAAGATTCTTTGTGTATTGCATTTGCATTATAATGTGGCATTCACATTTAAATGATATGGAAATTCCTGAAACAAAACGTTTTATTCCCAAACGGTTTGAATTGGGTACATTGAGTTAGCCAAATAGGTCTATTGGGCCAACAAAAACCTCTGAAAGTACATTCCGAACCTTAAGGGTTTGTTTTGCTGCATGACTCTTCCTAGCGTCGTTGTTCCACAAAAAAAGGAAATGGAGCCACCAAACCAAAATGCGAGCCAGATTGCCAGAATACATATTAATATTACTATTTTCAGGGGAATGCCCGCGAATCGACGCGAACGGCGCGCCCCGCAGAAGGAAACAATGTAATAAGCGCGATTGATAGACTCTTGCAAACTTTACAACTTCCCGCTTGCACACTGCCGACAGAACAGATGACAATGTTTGTGAAAAATCCTTGTTATTATACCCAAATAAATTCTGCAAATCCTGCAGCATTCGTTTGGAACAATGTCGGTTTCTTTATAAAGTGGTCTTCTTATTCCTGGACTCTTGTCGCCCATCGTTAACACATGCTTTAGCTTGACCCCGATTAACAAATCACTCTTTACCACCCAAGTGAAGATGGTTTGTTCATAACATAATTTGCCCAGGTCTACCCCCACTTAAAAAAATAGCGGCTGATAAGCACGTGTTTGCTAAGTTGCCATTGGTCACTCTTTTTATCAGCAATTTGACGCGTTTGACAGCTGTCGTCTGCATGAAAGTGAGATTCGAGGCCAAGGTAACCAGAGGTTTTTCTCTCTCTCCTCGTCGCTTACGCGACTCGTTGTCGCCGCTTCGCGGCTTGCTGTTGATCTCTTTCGCGAAGAAAAATCAAGAAAAACCTCTGGGACCAGGGTAGATGTTTGGGTTTGCTGACCGTGAGAATAAAAGAAGGCTGGCAAACTCAGTGTGGGTAATGTTTTGCTATCTCTGGGCCTAAACGGCTGCGATTGGCAAGAAGCTGCGACCCAATGAAAAACTAACAACGTTGGTTAACGAACCCAAACAGGAACTAATTCAACAAGGCTTAATACCCTAAGTCAGCTCTGAACTCACAAACACAACTTCCAGTATAAAACTCACTTCTGACAAGGACATGTCAAAAATATTTCAGAAACGGAATTAAGTGAATTTGAAGGCCAAGCATAATTTGAAGTACGAGTGAAAACATAAGATTAAAACAGGAAAACACCAAGAGAACATAATCCTAACCAACCATGACCCCCCAATGAAACAAAAACGCAACTTTAAGGATAAGTCAAAATACTTCACAACAGAAAAAAAAATAACAAAGGAAGGTTACTTAATATGTGCTCTACTCTTGAATTTCACTGTAGAGAAGTCACGTTTTTATAAAATTAAAATTCGTAAACTCTTCTAATTCCATTAAATCAATGTATATCATAGACAACAGTAATAAAATAATGATAAAATGTTCTTACCGGTTAAACAGCACCTTGATTTGCTAGAAGATAGGCTCTAAAACACAAAATAACGACAACAAAATACAATTTAATTACAAAACTAACAATCTGCTGATGTAGTTATTTATGAAACACTCCCTATACAGTCATTGTTTTTTTAAATAGCATCTCCCAAAATCAGACCCCAAGTGTCACCAAGTGTTAGCACCTGAGGTAGTTCAGTCATTTTCTAAAGTATCCTTAATAAACACGGACACCTCTCAGAAATGGACACTGAATATTTCCAAAACTAGTTTTTCCATCGAAAAGCACTTAAGGGCGGGAATACAGCCGTTCAAAATGACAGTAATGATGATCTGGGAAGCTTCATCTGAGATCCTTTTTCACCCTTTGTCAAAAAAAGCCCAAATATCTTGCGGCAAATACCTCAAGGTTGCCATGGTATTTTTGTAATTTCACATGTGAAATTACAAATTAACGCTGAAATTTCGCGCCAAAATTAAGGAGTAATTCGTCACCTATGATATTATAAGGATAATTATCACCAAAGGTTATAAAGAGTGAAAATCTGGGAGTTGTAAGGTGGTAATTACCTTTGTATCACACGTTCCCGAAATTCCTTTTTGTCCTTGTGATCCCTTCTCTCCTTGGGAACCTTTGTCGCCACGAGATCCCTTCTCACCCTTATTAAACAAAGCATTTATAATTATAATGAACATATATTAATATTCTAGTAGATAGCCAAAAAACTCGGAAATTTTAAAACCTGATCACCACTTTATCCTTTACTATAGCGATACAAGAAGAAAACTTAAAGTTACATGCGGTAATTGTTTTGTACCAGAAAGGTATCCGTGGAGAAATAAAATTCGACCTGTTAGTTAGTTTGGTCGAGCGCCAACTCGGACATACCAACTAACAGGTCGAATGTAACATTTAGAAGCGTGAGGGAGATGAAAATTGAATGAATAGTGTTTGTCGCTGTGTTGGATAAAGCATGTGCCTTCGTTTTTGTTTTGGACACTGAAAATTAGTTGGCAGAAAAAAAAAAACAAATATTTGATTGAAGGGAAATCCATGTTGGAGAACTGATCAAGGTTGTTAAAGTGTTCTTTCTTACAGAGAAAAAAGGTCATGAAACTGACACTTACTTTAACACCACCATTACTGTTTTTATCCATTCCTGGTTCTCCTTTCACCCCCTGCAACAGAAATAATAAGGAGCACTTGGCCTGCTTACAAAGGGCCTGGGAAAATACGTCAACAGAATCCCTCGAAACATCAATATCGAGGACCTCCAAAAGATCAGCCGCATTTTAAGAAAAGTGCTCTACCAACGAGATAATAGCGACTCCCCCCTCCTCTCAGCCACTCCCAAGGAAACTGGTAGCTCCTCGGAGATCTGAGCAGTAAGAACTGCTAAACAAGACGTAATAACAAACATCTTCGTCATCATCACCATCATCAACATCATCATCATCTGTCAAAATGATTGAAAAGCTTTCAAAGTATACGGAATTAGAGATTGAAATCTCTAGGATATGGGGCCTTAAAACAGAAATTGTGCCTGTAAATATTGGAGCTCTTGGCCTACTAAAAACGGGCCTGGGAAAATACGTGGAAAAAATGAATATCAATAAAAATATCAATATCGAAGAACTCTCAAAGATCAGTCTTCTAAGCACAGCCCATATTTTACAAAAAGTGCTGTCTACAAATTAAATGAAAACTCCCCCCCAGCCGCTCCCAAGGAAACTGGGCGCTTCTCGGAGCCCTGGACAGTACGAACTGTGAAAGAAGAAAAACATAATAACAATAACAATAACAATAAGTAATTAAAGCAAACTGTGACAAAGGAGTGACAATGATGATGATGAAGATGGTAAATAACAAATAGAGACAATCTATACTGTGGTGTGATCAAAATAAAGCTAACTGGTCTGGTTATAATTTTGATCATTTTGCTTAGTCCAACCAAAAATTAAACACACAAAAGACATTTGTGCACCCAATATGATCACTGATGTTTTATGGAGAGATACAAGTGTACGGATCCAGAAACTAAAAACCTCCATTTGAAAAGCCGTACATATTTATAATACCTTAACACCTGCACTTCCATCTCTTCCTGGTTTCCCTGTTTCTCCTTTTTCTCCCTGACATAGATGTTTACAAGGTGAAACGCAAACTGACAAATTAACACTAGAACTTAGAAGATGACTATTACTATTAATTTTATTCATCTTTTATTTATCTTTTAAGAAACTTCAGCCTTATTGGAGAAAAATGATGGTGCACGGGTGCTGCAGTTATGGGGTGGCACATTGCTTTTTGAATGTGGTAGGTGAAGAACCGCTTCATGGACTTGCTACCACTAAATAACGTTTATTCATTAACAGTAACAAAATTACGAAAAATTAAAAGTCAACACATAATTAATGCAATTAGTTTAAAAGTGACCAAAACTGCTCCATGCCCATATTTAAATTAACATTACATGCAGTTCTGAGTTTATCTAGATACACCTGCTTTAGTGACTACGTGCATATTTGTATAACCATGGAATAGGGCAAGGAAGGTTACTCAGTGCTGTCAACTCTCCCGGATAATCTACGAGACTCCAGATTTTGGACCGTATCTCCCAGTCTCCAGATTAGAGTATGAATTCTCCCGGATAATCGCGCCGAATTTTGCTATTTCTTGTAGAGTTGACTTTGTGACAATAAAATTTCAAATATTTTGCGTTGTTTGAGCTATTTTTGTACTGTTAACATCGAACGTTTCCTCATTAACTCCAGTATGCCATTGTAATATAAAAATTAACGAGATTGGTGAGAAGTAAACCAATCAAGTTAAACATTACAATGCCAACAACATCTTTTTCACACGTTTTGCGTCATCGCAAATTCGTGGCGATCGGAGTCAACAGGTATTTTTTGCACAAATGACGTCACGCGCCCTGCGTTATGACGTCATCTATGATCCCTTTGCTATCAATTCTCAATATTTGAAATCATGGGGGGTTGACCGCGTCGCTTACTCTAACTTGTACCTAATAGTGTCTTAAATCAATAAATCCCCTGTCCCCACTGCCAAGGGGCCTGGATAAAATATAATCATTATATTTTGGATCCAGGCCCCTTGGCATTGGGGACAGGGGATTTACCACGCTCAGGCAAAAAGATATTAACTTCAAAGACTGGTAAAAAAACCAGGGCTCAAAAAATTTTCAGCTGGAGGTTTTGAGACAAGTTCCCCACCCTTTAAGTGCCAGGCAAGTAACTTCAAGCTCAATTGACTAAAGAGCAAAGGAACTGACAAGTCATACTCACATAAAAATGCAATGTAATTAACCTCTTCAGGCAAGCAAGCAATTTTCGTAAGGCAGTATATGAATGACTAGCAATAACTTGTTCCTTTTTTGTTAAGGCTTGCAACAATGAAAACATATGACTAAAATTATTTTTTCTGTCCTGTTTCCATTGTTGCAAATATACCTAGTGACAGTGCCCCTTAAGGTTATTGATTTTTTTTAAAATTATTTTATGTCTTCCTCTTCTTTCTCTGAAAAGGGAAAGCCTAAATTTTTACGTTACCTCAAGCTTCAAAATGTTAGTTTAAATAAAGTAAAACTTCTTTTTGGCAACATGTTATCTTCCCACTACAGAGACCATGTCTGAGATATACAGTTCCCTGGTTTGCTTTATTCCTGAACTTTTCAAGCAAAAAGAGAAAACAATGCGTTAACATTAAGAAAGGCCAACCTTTATTCCACTGCCATCTCGTCCATCACGGCCATCTTTTCCTGTGTTCAAAACAATTAACAAAATGTAATATTCACATTACGGGGCTGATTCTCTAGCAGCAACCAGTGGCCCCTAAAGGACATCTTCGCTTTATCAAAAAAAGTCCTACACTTGGTACCCTGGATTTCACAGATACAGAGCATCCAGGGCTCCCTTTAATTTTTCTTAGAGAACAGCCTAATGAATTGTCTAAAAGCTAGGGTAGAACACAGACAACCAGCTAAGAGGGAAGGGGAGAAGAATGTTGCAAAAATATGTTACTGCAGTAAATGAACAGAATGAGCCCCATGGCTAAGATTTATTTTGAGAATGACAGGAACATAAAATGTACCTCACCATTAACTCCATCGCGTCCATCTTTTCCTGCAAACCAAAAACAACACTTAATTATACCAGTGGCCGTGGAGGCATTATTTCTTAACCTATAATCATGGCTGCATTAATGTCAGTTGTCATGAGAACCCCATATAGTCGGGGTTCATTGGGGTGCAGTGGTTTATTATTTTGGGAAGTTATATACCAGTACATTATAAAATTTACACTTTTTGCCCGCTTGAGCGTATAGCTACTGCTAACCTGGAGAATGGGATAGAGCTAGAAACGATTGGCATTATTTTCAACTAGGACATTTCCACATCTCACTCCCATTCCTCTGCCACCGAAAATATAGCATGACATGACAGTAGTAACGTGACTAATCTGATCTAACAGGAAATTCCAAAAATTATTGTTGTTCTATGGCTATAAAATGTGACACTGGGTTAATTTTGGTGTTTGAAATACTTTTTTAACAGGGCTCAAAGTTTAAATTTGAGTTTGGGCAGCATTTGTGCTACCAGATGTAAATTTTTAGCTGCGCTGCCAAAATTTTAGGTGCACAGCTGAAAATTTTAGGAGCACAGCTTATAGTGTTGGGAGGATCTTTTTCAAAAGAAAAAGTAAACAACTTAACAATGTGAATTTGCTTCTCATTTCTTGATAATTTGAGTGTTACGCAGCCTCACGGGCAGCCTAATAATAAAGGAAAATTGCTGCATATTAATGGCTGACCCACCATGTTGTCCATCCTTTCCATCTTTGCCTATTGAAAAAATACAGAGGCAATTAATGAAGCACAACTGAACTATTGATGAAACCACAGAACCTGCAGAGCAACTTGATTGAACTGATCTGATCCCACTAATGCAAATCCTTTAATGTATTTTGCTGGCCTTTGGCTCAATGTGTGGTAAATTTTAACCTACTATGAAGAATTTTTTTTTTTTTCAACATCCATGGATAATCATTCTGCTGTAAATCAATTTTTACAATTATTGCAAACTCACCATCCTTACAGCAACCAGCTTGAGGTACAACTTTACAGCTTTTAGACTTTGCTGCAGATCCATTAGTCTGTTAGATTGGGAAATTTAACATACTTTCATCACCTAAGGAAGACTGCAAACTCTAGATAAATGATATATGAAAATGCTCTAGCATAAACTGAGTTGCAATAAGGAAGGACATGAGCATGGAAATGAAAGTGGTAAATTAAAAAGCAGGAAATTAAAAGGGTTAGACTGAATTATTATACCTGCCAAGTATCACGCCTAAGGAGCAATTGTTATGCATGTGGATCAAAAAACTTTGATCTCACTCCTACCAGGGCTTCTGATATTTCGCGGAAAAAAAAGCAAAATTTCGCGGGATTTTCAGGGGCAAATTCGCGGAAAAATCGGCCGATTTCGCGGGATTTTCGCGGGAAGACAGTCAAAATTCGCTGAAAAATCGGCCGATTTCTGGTTTTTTTTACCGGAAAAAAGTCAAAATTCGCAGAAAAATCGGCCGATTTCACGGGATTTTCGCGGAAAAAAGTCAAATTTCGAAGGATTTTCAGAGGCAAATTCTTAGAAAAATCGGCCGATTTCATGGGAAATTTTGGGGGGGGGACTTCGCCATGAAACAATCAGTAAAAAACAGCCGATTTCGCTGGATTTTTGGGAGGAAATTTCGTTAAAATCGATCAATTTTGCGTCGATGTGACCAGTGTTGTTTAATGTTTTTTTTAACCGGGATAATCATTTGCTCTTTCAACAACAGTTCGCTCGAGAAATGAGCGGATGCTAAAGCTATTAACATTATGGTTAGTGCCCAGTTTTTCGCAACGTTCATCTAATAGCGCCTGGTAGTTTTGGGACGTTGTTTACTCGTTGCAGTGACGAAGTTTCAAGATAAATTTGGACGTTTGGGGTGAATAAAACAGGTCTAATAGCCAAGAAAAGTATTAAATATGTTTTGCCGACATGTATTTGGAAATATTTCCGGCCGATTTCGCGGTATTTCGCGTTTTTTTGGGAATTTCGCGGGATTTCGCGGAAATACCTGAATTTCGCGGGTCCGCGACCGCGCGAAATATCAGAAGCCCTGTCCTACTCACACCTGTGTTCCAAAAATTTCTCACGCCTGGTAGAAAAGTTTGAGCTATTACAGCATTAACTGACACATTTTGAAAAATATATTAATTATCTAAAGAAAATGGAACCAAAGAGAGAAAAGAAAAGTCCATGTGACTGATCCACTTTTTCCAAGTTATTTATTTTAGTAGGGAAAGTAAAGGGTTGTGTTCCTCCATGTTACCATGTTCATGTTAGACGGAACCCTTCGTTCGCTACCGTTTTTATTTTTTTTTTTTCAAAATCACTATAAAACACCATGTATTGTTTCTTTTTGGCAGTTGCCTGATGATTGCTTCTCATGAAGCATGAAACTCTGAGCTTCTGCCATGTAGCACGGAGAGGCTTGCCGTGCTACACGGCAGTAGCACGACTTGGTTTCACACGTCGCACTACTGCCGTGCTAAAGTCGAATTTAATTCAATCAATTGAGTTCGGCACGGCAGTAGCACGACGTTTGAAACAGGCCTTAGTTGCTACTGTAAGTACTAAGCAATAATTAGCTAACAAGCGACACAAAAGTACGTAGTGTAAGTTTTATGCTTTTATAAGCTTACCAGTGTAAAATTAACTCTTCATTACAGCCATTGCATTGCATTTTTGACCAAATCCTCCTTATTGGAGCGGTTTTTGGCTAGCTAGTATGGGAATGGCTAAAAAAGACATTTTTGACACTCAAAGCATATTTTTCTGCTAATTGATTATAATTAAGCAGCTTTTTTGTTAGACTACGAGTAGTTCCCATTGTAGTCATTGTAGAGTAGAATTGACTGATGCATTAACACTGTTAGGATTGGTCACAATTTGCTAAAATGAGGTCCCTGTGGAAAGATCTATCCTTGCTGATTTTGCTGTTTACCATCTTAACAGCTTAAATGGATAGCTGAATGGATCAATGAAGGAAAACGTTCATGATTCAAAAATTAGGACCAAAAAGAAAAACAGTCGTCAAAGAGTTAAACTCACCTGAGCTCATCTTTTTGACCTCACCATTTTTTGTAAAGAGTAACAGCCATTTAAACAATCAATCTCCTTAATCAAGCTTCTCTGATTGACGCTCTGCTTCCCGAGCATTATTTTAGGAGTCGAACAGAGTCGAACACGGTAGATTTGGATCAACTTGCAAAAGATAACTTTTAAAATATTCCTGAGATCTTTGGGAAAAACATTTTTGCCCAGTTGGCAAATATTCCACAGGCGTTTGTTTCTCATTAAGAGGTGACTGGTAACGAGAGAGCGATGCTCACGCGTAAGTTGACACGCGCGTGCTGTTGGCGCGTGCTGTTGGCGCGTGCTGTTGGCGCGTGCTGTTCGCGCGAATTTCTCGAACCCAACGGTCTTCAGACTTTCCCCTTAATTAAGTACCAATCAAACATTGTAATTTTACCCCCTTTTTTCAACCCTGGGTTTTGGTGCATGGAGTGCAACTACTTTGTTTTCTTTCCTTTAATAATCTCATGAAAACTGAAGATGGCCCATGTGCTAGCCGAAATGTGTAAAATTATCTAAAGCCCTGAATACTGTATCCGACGCCATAACTACGGTGCATATCCCTTCAATTTCTGCATGTGAAATCAATCACAAATTAAAGTTGTGTCTCTGGTAGCTGAGTTTCTAGTTTGCAACCAAGATATTGAACGGATTATGAATGTGAAAGAACCTGAAAACGCAAAAAACAGCGTTGTCCGGAGTCTAGAAAGCTAAGAAAACCGCACCTGAACAGTTCCCTTGCCAATATAGATACTCGGAAATAATAAAGTTACCTGATTTGAAGAATTGTTCTGCGAAGTTCCAAAGGAAGCGGCCAAGAAAATGGCCAAAGTCATCAAGAAGAACAGGCGAAACATTTTCAGTATTTCTTAGTGGAACTGACCGTATTCACAAATGGAGCAGTGTATGAATGTAAGCTTAGAGTTCCGGAGTTGAGATCTCTTTCATGAATACAAAACGAGAAAATAAACGAGATGGAAGGCCTATTGTTTTAATGTTTTCGTTCATGACAGATAAGACAAGGCTGATCTTGGCATTGATGCATGACTGATGGTCTAAAGTCTAAACTGTTTTAATAGGACCAAAGAAAACCGTCCACAGTCGTGGGCTTCCTGTGTGCACCTTCCCCCATCCCACTTATCACCCCCCATGCCTTTACTCAGTTGCCACAGTGCAAATAGTGCAAAAACATATACAATCAATTAAATGACTAGGTAGCTAAAAAAAAGTTTATTAAAAAATCCGTTAAGGTTCAGTAACTTACGCCTATAAAAACAATGGCTGACGAGTCGTTCTGATTACACTGACGTCTTGTGATTGGACATTTTAGATTAAGTTTATCACTTTTTCGCGAATTTCAGTCCTGTAAGCTAGTTTTCCTTTCAGTGAGTTCAGTCATTATTCTAATGTCTTTTACTCACTCCTAAAGAACACTTTAGACCTAATTAACAATTTACGCATAAGATTTGTATGAAAAAAAACTGTTGAACATTAGTCGTTAAAACCAGGTTGCTATGATTTTATTTAGCCTGGTTTCCATATGATCACTACCATCGCTGTGATCGCTGCGATCGCTGAGCAAAAAAAAAGTTCATCGATCGTAGCGTAAACTTTGTGTTATGTAAGCCTAGACAGAAAAGGTATCATTTTCCAATGCAAATATGCATAAATGAACAGCGAATCGAACAGGTTAAGGAAACGGTCTTCCTCGGTGTAGTCCTTGATTTGATGAACATCTGTCTTGGAAACCGCACATTTCTCAAGTAGCTCGTAAAATCTCGAAATCAATAGGTGTCATTAATAGAGCAAGATTTTTTTCTACCTAAACCCTGTCTAAAAACTCTTTATTATTGTTTAGTTTATCCTTATCTTCATTATTGTATTATTGTCTGGGGATCTACGTACAAAACCAATCTTCGCCGTCTTGTCTCTTTGCAAAAGCGAGTTATCAGAATTATTTCTAAATCAACTTTCGATTCTCATTCAGACCCTATTTTCAAACAATTAGAGCTACTAAAACTTTCCGATATTAGACAACTAGAATTGGGTAAACTTATGTTTTCTCTTAACCATTCTCTTTTGCCTTCAAAGTTCAACAATTGTTTTTCTTTAAACAAACAAGTCCATAGATATGCCACTAGACAAGCGAACGATTTTCACCTTCCTTTTTGTAGAACAAACCTTCGTAAATTTTCTGTCAGTTTCCAAGGACCTACTTACTATAACTCTATAGAAAATGATATTAAAGAATCTAATTCTCTCCACTTATTCAAAACGAAATTGAAAAAAAAATTATATATGAATTATTAGTTATAAATCTTGTAGTAAATAGTTATATTTCTTCACATGTCTGATATTATTTTTATACTTATTTTTACATGTACCATACCTTATATTTTGTCAACTCAGTCTATGTAATTAGTTAATTTATACTTACCTTCATTGTATTTTACTTTCGATCCTGGCCTTACCGTTACTGTTAACTTTATTTTTACTCTGAGGGAGCCCAATGTCTATAAGCCTCATGGTTTCTTTTTGGGCTTCCTCGCCACTTTCATTTGCTTTTGTGTAACTGTCTAGTTTTATCGTTATTTGTATTTCGTGGTAAATCAAGTAAAGTTACAAAGTTACAAGTTACAAAGTTACAAGTTATAGCGATCATATGGAAACCACCTTCTAGCGATCGTAGCGATCGCAGCGACAATCTATCTCAGCGATCGTTGTCGCTGCGATCGCTGGAAGGTGGTTTCCACATGATCGCTATCACTGCTGCGATCGCTGAACTTTTATTTTTCTCAGCGATCGCAGCGATCACAGCGATGGTAGCGATCATATGGAAACTAGGCTTTAGAGAGCCGGCCGGAGAATTTACATACATCCGCCTTTTGCAGCCCCCTTAAGCCTGGTTTCCATATGATCGCTGGGTTCGCTGCGATCACTGGAAAGTGTTTTCCATATGATCGCCATGATCGC